TGGTGCGGGCCCCAACGAGCCCAGGCCGCATATCCGGGGACAGACAGAGAGAGGGACCCCCAAGCTCCGGGGATAACGCGGGAAAGCGCTCCGGGGAGCGCGGGGGGCAACGGAGGGAGCTGGGGGAGAACCACAGCCCTGAAGGTCCAGGAGCGGAGGAGCGCCGCTGCCACACAGCCCCGGGGGGAGGCGGAGAGCGGGGACCGCGGAAGGAGGCGGGGGAAGGAAGCGAGGCCCGGGGCCGGGAGCTCGGGCCGGAGCCGCCCGTACCGGCAGGCGCCGCGCTGGCAGGGCTCCAGCCTGACGCGGTAGGCCGCTTCGACGTGCTCCTGCGTCACCGCCTCGGGCAGCACCGTCTCAGTCCAGCGTCAGGCCGCCTTCTCCAACTGCAGCCGCGGCGCCATCGCCGCCCCCGGCCCGACCCGGCCCCTCCCCTAGGACGCGTAACTTTTCCTTTGAGGTGACGATTGGCAAGTTCTACAATTGCTTGTCCCTGAGAGTTGCCAGGGATTCCTCTGGAATGAGATATCCCCCAAGCTATTAGCCATTCCTGGGTCGAGTTGAGATGAAGCAAGACCCAGTATCTGTTTTTATCTGACTGGGCAACCCCATAGCGGCTATTGCAGTGGCCCAATGACTCTGTGCTGTGGTTGAATTGCACTTTGCATGTTGAGTGACTGATATCATAGAAGAAGCTGTATCTACAGTAACGGCGAGCCATGGACGAGGGGCCATACGGCGTTCCCATGTAAAATCCGTCTGCCAGATCTGCAGTGGCTTTAAGCCACGGGGGTTAACACTTGCACCAATAGTTGGGGCAGAATTGCAATATGGACATGCCTGAACTACATTACGAACTGTCAGCAAGGGAATAGAACAGGCCCGTGCCAAAGCCTTGGCACCTATACGAAGAGATGCATGAAGATCATGCGCAGTTCTGACAGTGAAGCATGCTGTGCCTGCAATAATTGATGTGATGTTACCGACGCTAAACAATTAAAGCCACATCCTACAGTACTGGTAAAATCATAGACAGAGAGATTAGAGATTACTGATTAGAGTGATTGCTGATAGCTCTAGTGGCACTATCTATGAGTATGAAATTACAAAGGATCCTTATACAAACATAACCAGGTTATTTTCCCAATATATGCCAACTTTGCCTCAGGTACCTGTTGGAATGTACCTCCAAATGACAAACATTTTATTCAGTATCAAGGCAGATGTCTCAAGCCTTGAAAGCATTGCTCTCACAAGCCAGCCGTGTGGAATTGCTTGTTCTCCAGGCCTCAATCTGGCCACCTGTCCCTGAAGGGAACCCATTCTGATGCCCACAATGTATACTGCACTGGCTTAAAAACCATGCACATCAGATTCGTTACATCATGAGGAAAGAGAAGACCTGGTGCTGTCAGGACTTCTAATGCATTTAGAGCAAGGAGTGATTTCAATCCCTGTTTCTCTGCACAATCTATCAGGTGTGTGATGTCTTTCAGATCGAGGGGTACCCCTTCTGGGATTCTGTTACCGTTCCCTACTACCAGGAAGATCTCCAGTACTTTTCCTTCCTCTATCAGGCTAGATCTAAACTTCCCACAATCGGTTAGTGCATCTCTCTTAACTTCTAAATGCAAATTCACCTCTCTCCTTTCGCTATCCTGTTCAGTCACAGCTGGAAGCTGCGGGCTCCGCACCCCTCCCCTCAGACCCATCTCCCTTTGATCATGCACTGACTGTTGTAGAGGCTTCTGATTGGTTGCATACGCACTCAATCTTGTAAAAGGATATGTGGGTCGAATCAGTGGGTCTGAATGCTGTGGTAAGGAGTGGGTCCGGAGACTCTCGTCATTTGGTCTTTCTTCTACGGGTGCAACCTGAGCAGACAGCGCTGGCCACACGCCACCTACTCCTTCAGGCGCGATCAGGGTGGACAGTGCTGGCCGGACATTACCATCCGAGCGCCTGTAAGTTACATCGCTTCCCTTTCTCTCTGCTGTTTTTTCTTCTACCGCCTCTCTAACTTTTGACCAATCCGTACCCGAGCCTTGCCCGCAGTCCCCGCAGTCCCCACCCCCCTGGGTGTAACTGCATTCCACCTCCTCAGAGGAGACGGCAAGTGTCCCATCCCAGCTCACTTGTCCCCCTTCACCCACAGGTGGTATTAGATTACACAGAGAAGGATACAGCGGTTGTCGTGGATACGGCTGGGGAGTTTCAACGACCTTGGATTCCTGCACTTGGCCGGTGTTGCACGATAAAAGTGCAGACAGTTCAGCGCAGTCGTCTTCTGCTTGTTTATGCGAAGCTGAAGCCGAGGGGGGAGCGAAGGGGGGTGCCGAAGGTGCGGACGAGATGTTAGTCGCCATAGTTGAGGGCATATTTGCGGCGTTCTCTTCCTCAGGGGACCTGCAAGAAAGTCCGCTTCCCGTGCCACTTCTCTCGGCATTAGTAAATTCCAAACCCATCATAGCGCGCGCAGCCTCAGGAATTCTATCTTCTTCTCTAGCGGCTTTAAGGGCCCCAAGAATTAACCCCCAGATTTTTAGCTCTGCTGCTTTTTGCTCCTCTATCGCACGCTGCGCAAGCGTGGATGTAAACTGATCCCATTTATCAGGGTCTAAAATGTCCTGAGGGGAGGGAAGATTCCACTCCTTTTCCAGGCAAATAAGTACAGCGGAAATGTCCTTCTTAGAAGGGGCATTCTTGCTGTGATAGTCCTTACAGAACTGAAGGACCAACTTAATAACTTGATCCATCACCAGCGCGGCACTGATGTCCCGATTCGAGAGTGACCTGCCACCAACCACAGGCTATCCCCAGCCTCGAACTTCCACAGCAGCCAGCTGCTGCAGGCACGCCCTAAGGCGAATACCGTAACACCACGGTCTTCCACGGCCAACCCGTCATTACCTCATTACGGCATTGGAAATTCCGCAGGCTCGCAGGAGACTTTAACGCAAGTTGGCTTCTCATGCAAGGGGGATCCTCACAAGTGGGTTCCGCACTGGTTCCTCACACGGAGCACCAATGTTGCATTGCCTCCTACGGTACTGACCTAAAACCAGGCCAGGACCAAATGACTGCACGCACACACCAATATGATGAACAGCAAAATGGCGTTTATTACACGTGAACTCTAGCTTATGTAACCTATGTGCTTCGTCTACGCCCCTAAGGGCACGTGCCACACATCAATCATAGAGCAGGGAGAGGGCCTATCGCGTCACATCCCATGGGGGGGTCTCGCAGTTGCTGACAACATGCTGTGCACCCTCTGTGGGATGCAGCTGCCTTGCCCAGGCTCCGTATTTTTGCAGGCTTCCCAGCCCGCTGTGGTCAGGCAGGCTTGTGGCTGTAAGGAATGCACAGGGCCCACAGCTCCCCTCTGGGGAGGATTTAGAGATATTAAAAAAAGAGAGAGAGAAAGAGAGACAGAGAAAGACAACAAAACCCTTTCTCCTCCTCTGCTTATGTCTCAGTGCAGCTCTGTAGCTTGGCAAGCGCAGGTGCTGGAGTATTGCACAAAGGCTTGCAGTGAGCAAGGCAAGGGCAGCTGGGATGATTTCATCTTTTCCTTTATAGTGTCTAAAAGTCTGCAGCAAAGCAGCACGTTTCCTCTTGCTCCCTCTCCTCCTTATCCCCCCTCCTGCCAGAGAGGCACCACTTGGGGGGAAAGGCCAAAGAACACATTGCTGTGCAGCTGTGCTGCGGTTATTCCACACTCACAAGAAACGAAGGAATGTCTGGCAAAGTGGAACCATCTGGCTATGGCTGTTCAGTGCAGGAGACAAAGGAGAAAGAGGAACACCACGGAGAAGGGCTGGGTGGAGAATATGACCTTGGTCACAGCAGCCGACTTCGGGAAGAGACGCTCTCAGGTGTAGCAGCCATTTGAGGCGAGAAAGGTGGAAAAAGCTGAGACAAAAAACAGTCGCAGTGTGAAAACCAAACACTTGCATTGCTCTGTGGATAGTTTAAGTGCCTCTTAGTAGTGCTCGTGGTGTGGCTAATGGGTGCTGGTGCCCAAATGAAGGCCTGAGTGCCTTCCCTCTGTCACACTGCTGCCGGCGGGGGGCTGGGGTAGGAAACATAGCTGAGGAACCAACTGGATGAGAAGAATGGCTTTGTGACACACTGTAAGGCGCTGGGGAGATGCTGCGTCCTGGCAGTTGTGCACAGAGCTGTGAGGTAGGTGGGAACGGAGGCACCCTGAACTCCAGTGAAGGGAAAGCAGAAAGGCCGGGGGAAAACAAACCAACAAACAAACAAACAAAACAAGCAGAGAAGAAAAAAAAAAAAAAAAAAAGCCGGGAAAGGGCAACCAGAAGGTGCACGAGAAAGAAAAAAAGGGCTGAGGGGGTGAGGCCGCGGGACGAGCGCGAGGCCCTTCAGCACCCTCAGGAGGCCGTGGCGGGAAACGCCTCAACGCAACGTTAGGCGGGAAGGCATCGCGCACGCGCACATCTACGGCGGAGGGATGGAAAGGGGGAGAGCGCCCGGCGTTCGAAAAATGCCCGCGGCTCCTCATTGGCTGGCGGCTCCGGTAGGCCCCGCCCACCGCCCACCGCGGCCCCGCCCCCTCCGCCCCGCCCCCTCCCCTTTGCCCCCGCCCCCCCCCCCCCTCCCCCGCCGGTTCCCCCGCCGCCGCCATTAGGGAACACATTTGTGTCCGCCGGGCCCGCTGGTGAGTGAGGGCCGACCCCGCCCGGCGCCGCACGGCGGGAGGGGGGGCGGCCCACTCGGCCGCGGGGCGCGGAGGCGGCCCGCCGGAACCGCCCTCGGCTCCGCGCCGTGTCGCGATAGGCCTCGCGGCGGGGGGGTGTCGTGGCGCGGCCCGGCGTCCGCGCAGGCCTCGGCTGGGCCCCGGGCGCCGCCCGTTCGCTTTCCCCGCCGTTCCGTTTGTTTTCCTTCGCTCAGTCGCCGCCCGAAGGGAGCCGCTGGTCCCGGCTCCGCTGCGGGCCGTGCTTTGCCCTCGGCAGGCCGAGCTTGGTGTCCCTGATCGGAGCGCGGCCGGTGCGGGGCGAGGCGGCTCCCCCGGCTCCCCCGGCTCCCCCGGCTCCCCTGGCTCCCCTCGCTTCCCTCGCTGCTTCCCCGCGGCCCTCCGCCAGCCCTCTACGCCCGTTTTGCGGCCGTTCCCGCAGTCGCGGTGCGTGCTGGAGGACGGGGCTGGTTGGCGCCGGGTGCATTCGGTCCGTTTGCGGGCTGACAGCTGGGTCTGCCCGGTATTTCGGCAGTCCCTGTCGGCCGCCGAGGGATCTCTGAGTTAATGAGCCCTTATCGGGTCTTGGCCGCTCGCTGGTCGTTCGGGCGCGTGGTTTCTTTTGTTTGTTTTTACTGTAAATAGTACTTTTAGCGTCTTTAAAGAACGCTTGGCTAGCAGCGGTTCTGATGGAGCTTCGGAGCTTCGGAAGTTCTGTTGTTAAACCGTGTGTGCAGGAGGTGAGAGCAGGGGGAACTGCTGCTCTTCCCTCAGCTTGTACTGCTGGAGTTATTTTTCTCTCCAGTATACATATGTATACGTTTATGTATGAAGTTATATTAAGTTCTTTATGGAGAGGGTGGTGAGGTGCTGGAACAGCTGCCCAGAGAGGCTGTGGATGCCCCTTCCATCCCTGGAGGCATTCAAGGCCAGGTTGGATGGGGCCCTGTGCAGCCTGGTCTGCTGGTTGGTGACCTGCACATAGCAGGGGTTTGAAACTGGATGATCATTATGGTCCTTTTCAACCCAGGCTTTTCTGTGATTCTATTTTGACTTCCTTTAGAGGGAACATGAGGGGTTTTACACTGGTGGGCTCTAATATGAGGTGTGAGTAGATTTTATGGAGCACGAGGAATTTGTAGCTTTCCTCAGGTTGTGCTGATGCCATGTAATGAGAGGTAGCTGAATAAGTCGTAGCTCGGGAGGGTTTGTATGGTGGTGTTAAATGTAGACTGTGTAAGCGTGGAGGATGTTGCCTGTAAAAGGTTTTTATCCTGGTGTGTAATTTTACAGCCTGAACTTTCTTTTGGTTGTCAATGGTTTGTCAACACTCACAATGTTGGATCCTGGAATTAAGAAGTTTTGTCATCTTAGATGCAACTCAGCAGCAGCTTTCATGCTGAAATAGCTGTAAATAGGTGTAGCAGGAGCTACACCTGCTGTGAACTGAAAGCTGATCCTTGCATGCTCTGATGTAGGCTGCTTCGCTCTTTGATTGCCTCTCTCAGCAGGAATGCATGGAGAATCCAGATTGTGGACCCCCAATTTTTTTTTTTTTAAATGTTGCCTCGCCACAGTCCTGAGCATCAGTGCAGTGAGGGGTTGTTTTCATGCAGCTGTGCAGGCAGGAACTCTGCTTTGTATTAATCTTGTAGCTGGAATTTTTCAAGTTTTCAGGTATGATAGTGGCATTAACTGAAGTCTCCCAGTGTCTGCGTGTGTTTGGACGTGATGAATTTCTGCTGGATTTAAGGAGAGAAGATAATCCAGGCTGGGGAAGCGATCTTCTCTTCTTGTCTGTACAGGTCAAGGATGGTTGGAGAAAATCTGAAACTTAGTTTGTTTTATACTGAGTTGGTGGTGGTGGTGGTGGAGAATAGCAGAGGTGAGGCATGGCTCTTTCCTTTTATTTTAATAAACACCTGTTGAAACTGAGCTGGCTCTGAGTTGCTGTGTATCCTGGAGGGAGAGGTGGTGAGCTCGGTCCCAGGTAGGCAGGCAGAGCATCAATCTCACTACAGGAATGTGCTGCTTTTTGCAATGGAAGCAGCACCTGTGCATGCGGAATGTCAGCGTTTAATCTTTGTGTTGCTGTATAGAGCTCAACAGAATAAGCCAGGTACAAGTCAGCTTCTGTTTAGAGGTGTTGGGGTCTGTGGGCTCAATTCAGTACCCTGAAATGAAAACATCCCCTCAGACTTAAAACAAACAAAAACTCTTGCCATTGGATGTCTGTGTGTAGAAATGCATATGCTTAGGTGCTAGAAAGGCAGAAGGCTTTCTCTGTGCTCCCTCAAACCCTAATGTGTTTGGGATTTTAACATTAGAGGGAAGGAGTCGATGGAAATAAAAGCTGTAACACCAGTCAAGCCAAACAATTCCTTGCCTGCCAAGTGGTGAGCTATTGGATCTTTGCATGGGACCAGTGCTCTTCTTTAATTGAAACAAAACAGTTTATCATGCTGCTAGCAGCGTGGGGCTCGGATAACCTGTAACAGATCCCTGGGATCTCCCACAGGAGAGCTGTGAGCAGAGCCCCTGTAGCTTAGCTGGGGAGCGTGTTTAAGTAGGACGCCTCCCAGCAAATGGAGCCGGCGTGCGACTGCAAGGAGCAGCATCTGCTTCTGGATGGGGCAGAGCATGCAGAGCTCCGGTGGCACGGCGTGCTGAAGGGCTGATGGGGAACAGGAGTGAATTTCCAAGCAGGTTGCCAGATAAGGATTAGAAGCAGGACTAACTCGTATTCTGCATGCAGTCAGATATTTTATTTCTCTGCACATTTTTGGGCTGCTCGACATGACTTGGGTTTGCTGGTTTGTTTTAATTGGAGCGGCAGGCTGCTCTCTGAGTTGCAAAAACAAAAGTGAGATCAGTAAACACTGGAACAGCAGTGTAAGGCAGGCTGAGAGAGACAACCAGCTGAGAACTTCTAGTGGAGCTGTTTTGTAAAGCAAGTTTCTATCAAAGGTGGTATATCCTATGGTGATGTAGATGCTGAAGGATTTGCAGTAGGGTGTCTTCCACCTGAGCTGGACTTCTAGGGAAGAGCTTTGAGAATTTCAGAGGGCCAGAAGTCTTGATGAAGTGGGCTGCCTTGCAGTTCAGAAGGTAACATTTCTGCATGTTTGCTTTGGATTTTCACTTGTGCTTTGCTGAAATAGTAACGTTTCCATGTGCTTTTTTTTTTCCTACGGCTTCTGAGACATTTAAATGCTCAGTTGCTCAAGACAGCACCAGAAAAGTAGCAGATAACTGCATGCTAATCAGTAGCTTTGTTTTGAAATCCAGTTATTTTTCTTTCTTAAGCTTCTTTGGAAATAAACAGTCCTTGCTTGCACTACTTGTAAGGTTGTCAACTTCACATCCTTCAGCAGCTTCAAATCTGCAAGAACGCCAGTGCGTTCATTCTGCCCATCTGACCTGGTTTCCAGGCACACCTTGCTCAGGTATTCCACGCTACTGCCTTGTGCCTATGAGTGTCAGCTGCTGCGTGCATGCTGTGTCACAGTAAGGGGATACCCTTTCCAGCACAGGGTTGGATGTGCTTTCTCGTTCCTCTGTGGCATATTTGCTTTCAGAACACCTGGCCTGGGTACCCAGCCAGGAGACAGTGCCCCGCTCAGCTTGCCACGTTCCAGACCTGATTTTATCCCAAAACATTTTCCCTTGACTGATCGCGGTCTGAGATAAGCTGGAAAACCTTACGGCCAGCAGCAATTGGAGGAGTCAGTCGGGCTGTGCCTTGGGTTAACTTGAGTGAAGTTCCTGTTAAGTGGTGAGGGAAATCCACTCTTGAAATACTGTCTAAAATGCATGTGTCTCACCTAACACCTCTGGTTTTGTAGTGGTATTTTATGCTTTTTTTGTTCTCTTAACAGCTTGCTGATAGATTAGCAAGAAATTGGTGCAGGGATGTTTTTCTGATTGGTTCATGGAAAACCTGCTTGCAACTTTGCCTGGATTTTTCATTCCTTGAGCTGAGACTGAATGCAATCCATCATTTCAGCAAGTCCAGGAATTCAGAAAGTTGTTTGGCCTCTTCCTGCTTCCAGTTCTCAGTCTGGCATTTGTACAACTGTGAAACATGCACCATACTTTCCAGTTCTTTAAAAGCAGTGCTTGGGACACTTCCCAAGATGCCACAGTATCCAATGTGTGAGGCTGGGGCGTTGGATGCAACTCCTGTTTTGTCTGTCTTAGAAAAAACCGTTTGATTCCCATCTGAAACCTGGTGGAATTCTTCATTCTGTCCTCTTTCTGCCGGTGAGGAAGGAAAGTCCTACAGAATAAAGAACTGCTGGGTTCATATGTTCAAGCTGGCTGTTAGTTTTCCTTTCTCTGTTCTGACATTTCATCAGAAGGCTCCGTTCATCTCATTTATTTTGTCTTTGGAACACAGTGTGCTTTGCTTTCTCAGTGCCACACGTGTGTGCGGTCAGCATTCAAGTTTACTAACGTATCAGTTTTAATCAGTAATTGATTGATTATTTGGGGAAAGCAGTTTGCTGCCTGTTGGTTGTCCGCCCTTGCAAAGCCTTCTGCCTTAATTAACACACCTTTCCCTCTGCTCTTCTTTCCCTGCTGTGGTTCTGAACGTGCGCTGCAGCCGTAGCTGAGGGGTGACAGCAGTGCTGTCTGCGGATGAGCTGGGAGCTGGGTGCCTGGGACAGCAACTGGCATGGACAGAATCCCTCTGGTCCATGGGGAGCCCTGCTGCTGAGCGAAGGAAACTGAGAGAATTAGTGGTTGGGAGTGTTGGGCTGTTTGTCCATTAAGAGGGGCATGCTGATCTACCAGACCAGGGAGAGCGGGTGCAGCCCTGGTTTGCTACAAGTGAGGTGTTGATTTTGAGGCTTTTAAAGGGGGTGGTGAAAAGAGGAGAAGTGGGTGACAAAGTGAGGCCTGGCGTTGGCAGCATGTGGAGGAGCGTCCCTCCTCCAGAGGGGCTGAGGCAGGTGCACGGGCAGCAGTGAGAGGCTGTGATAGCATGGTAGGATGGCAGCAAAGGGGGAGAGAGGCTTGATCAGCATAATTGGTGCCCACGACTGTGCTCATGTTTGGAAGAGAGTCTTGCAAAGCTTTAACTTTTTTTGTCAAAGGTTTTGATGGTTGTTTTCTCATACAAGGATTCGTGCGTTTCTTTATGTTGCATGGGGTTTAATCTGGGAGGGTCTCTGTTTTATTTTCTGCCTAGTTCTGGTTTTGGTCCTTAGGCTAACAGAAGCTGTGTCAGTGTATCAGGGCATTTCCCTGAAGGGGATGGCTTGTTAGTTTAGTTTCTTCATTGCTTGGCTTTGAGCATGGTGCAATGACTGCTCTTTGTTAATGCTTCTGTTAATTTAATTAATTCTGTTAAATAGCACCATTATTCATTCAGATATGTGTAATGGAGCAGCTGCAGGTCCGGCTCCTACTCCTGCCATTTCTGCTATGCCCATAGCACTCAAATTTGTGTACATGCCTCAGCATCTCTGTTGAGTGCCCGTGTTGCTTGTCAGTTACGCTAGCCATGAGCTGTAAGCCGTGTGTTCTTTTCAGTCTGTAGTTTGTTCGATACGCGCACGTAGATGTTTCCGTTTTGTTAATTTTCACACCACATCTTTTCTGTACTTTAGGTTGACTCCTCACTGCACTGTGAAAGCCGTTAGGAAAAAGTCCTTGGGGTTAAAACCTGGGGCTCCACAGTGTTACGTGCACTTGGGGCTAGAAATAATTTTAAATGGCGACTGATCTGTCTGAAGCTGAACCCGTGCATCATAAGGCGCTTCCACTCTTAACGGGAACTCAGCTGATCCACACGGACAAGTTAAGTGAGGTAGGGGCTGACCCATTCTCCAGGCTTGCCCTTGGATCAGTCATTGACTTCCACTCCTGCTGAAGATTTCTTCGTACTCTTTCTCTCCTGGTTCTAGGGAACTCCATTGGGAGCCCAGTAAACCCTCTAGGTGCTGTCTTTCCCCTTCCCTGCTTCCCCTGAGATGCTGCAGTTGTCAAAATCCCCAAATGCTCATCTCATTTAATGTGGAATGAAATGTTATTTATTTCCTAATTATGAAATGCAAAACTGCCCTCTCCTGGTCTACTTCAAAGGTGCTGGGCTGGATATTACTGTCTTGAAAATTCTGGAAAATATGATTGTAACTAGAATAGTTCTACGTATGCCGCTCTGATTTACTTGAATCCCAACTCAAAAGCTTTCTGAGTCTTCCCAGCATCTGTACTGACTCACCAATGCTTTTTGTAGAAAGCTGAAGAGGACACGATGCCGATCCGCCGCTCCGTGAATTCTTCTTCTCGAGAAACTCCCCCCAAAAGCAAACCTGCTGAAGGTGGCGAAGAGGTGAAAGCAGGTACTGTAACAACTCTGCTGGGTTGTTGTAGCCAGCCACGGTGTTGTATCCAATCATGGGCTTGGATACCGAAGTTGCCAAAAAAATATCTTAAGGCTGTGGTTAAAATCCTAATGCTTGCCTCATTTTTACAGGCTGTTCTTGGCCTGCTGGGAATATTGTACAGCTTTCAGTGGGAAATAGTTTGGTTTGTGCTTTGTACACTGTGGCAAAGCCTTGACACTCCTAATATGAAAATATAGCTAGATATTATCTCTTCTAGGCTTGCACGTTCTTCTGGATAAAGGTAGAAATTGGGAACTTTCAGTAGTGATAAGAAAATGCCTTGGAATCGGAAGGAGGAATTAATGGATGGAAAACACAAGTGTTTAATTATTTTACCACACCACATAATGAAGACTGGTATTAATTAATGTGCCTGACCCAGCAGCTTCACCTTGCTTTCTCAGGATGTGTCGTTTCAGTATGATTTTCATTACGTTTCAGTGAGTTTGTTCTCACTGGTGGATGACTGTGTATGTCACCTAGGAAAATAACTATTAATACGCATTTAAATTTTAATCACAGTGCTTTCATGGGAGGAAAGTCATGTGCAGGAATGGAGCAGCAGTGCTTAAGCTTCTCCTTGAAGACAGAAAACTGGTGTGGCACACCAAGGCATGACAGCAATCACTTTAGCCTAGCAGTGGGTAGCAGCAGTTTATATTTGGTCAGGTTGTGGTTGAACTTGATGGTCCCGAAGGTCTTTTCCAATCTGAGCAATTCTGTGACTGTAATTCTGTTTGCATGTTATCCGTTAGGCAGGCTGGTCCCTTCAGGCCTGCTCTTGGCTAGATGTGCTTGAGTTAATGTGCTTGGTAAGTTGGTTTCTGACTGGATTTGATTTTGCTGATACATGTGCAGCCTAAAGCTTTGCCAGATCTGGACAGATGTGATTGAAGTTAAAATACTTCAGTTGCCACAGCATGCAGTGCTGAAAAAGCAGTATTTAAAGATGTGTTTGGCGTAAACAAAGCTGCTTATGCTTAACTTCAGTAATCTCTTCTGGAATTGTGTGGTTTTGCACCTTTTTTAGTTAAAATGCATAAAACTTAACCTAGGGGAAAACCTGCTGTTTCCATGATAGTAATTTTGTTTTTTCTTCTTCCTCCCTTCCTGACTCCTAGGCATTGTGATGGGCAGTGATTGTGATTGCAACAGTAACTTCAGGAGTTAAGAGAAGGGTGGGGAGTTAGCTCTTGTGAAAATACTGTGTGATGTGTGATTCTGGCATTTGATGATTCACTGCACCATACTGAAGCTCTTTCAGTACCTATGTTCACTTTCTTACTTAAATTCAAATCATCCCTTAAAATTAGAGTAAAGAAACAGGTTGGAAATAATTTTCAGGGTTTGTTAGTACTTTTTTTTTTTATTTTTTTTTTTTTTTTTTTTTTTTAAATCCTCCACCTTCACTAAGAGCAGGGGCCAGTTTTGAATAGTAAGCTGATGCATCTTTACATCTTCCAGATGCAGAAGCCACTTCTGAGGAATCTGCTTCTGCTGGAGAAGAACAAGAGAATGAAACCCTGCCTGCTGCTGCACCTAGTGAAGCAGAACAGCCAAAGGAACCTGAGAATGAAGAGAAGGGGGAAACCAAGTCCTCAGAAGAAACCAAAAAGGAGTAAGGCTTGCTTAGTGCTGAACTTAGGAATTTGGGTAGGAGAAAGACTGGTTCTGTAGATGAAAAAGATTATGGGAGAGATGGAGAAAATAGGGTGTGTCCCTAAAAGAGGTGCCCGCTTTTCACAGGAAGAAGTATTTCCAGTGTTAAATGTTCTAGGCATATTTTTTTGTTGCTGTTGTGCTTGTTGGCTTGTTTTACATTCTCCCTTCTCAATACTGCTTTGCATTTTCCCAAGCGATAAAGATCAGTCTAAGGAAAAGGAGAAGAAGGTGAAGAAGACCATTCCTGCTTGGGCAACTCTTTCTGCTAGCCAGCTGGCTAGGGCACAGAAACAAACTCAGATGGCTGCCACTTCACGTCCGAAGATGGATGCCATTTTAACTGAGGCCATTAAGGTAAGTAGGAGTCAAGTGTTTTTCTGTTCGCCTGTCACAAAGCAGAAGCACGAACTACAGTTTATGGTTTCAGCTTTCTGGTGGTACAAGTGATACTGCTGCCGCTTAGCAGGAAACCTGACTGTGAGGCATGTGTGCTTCTGTCTGGAAACCCATGGAGCTTACATGTGATGATGATGGAGGGGCTCTGGAGCTTTTCTTTGTTTTGAATTTGTTTCCCTCCCTGGGTTAAAATATTAGAAATGGCTCTGATGATGTAACCTGGTTCATTACTGGTGTCCTTTAATTTGATGTGTCTCCTAGCCATAGTTAACTTGGTTTACCTTGATTAGTCTGTCTATTTGATGCTTATCTTTTCCAGCATCTTATTGTAATTAAGAGCAGATGGCAGTACTTTAAGCTAGCATTCTGAGTGGTGTTGGTTTTAGTTGGCTGTATGCTTCCTTCTGCTTGTAAGGAGAGACTTGTACTGTTGTAGTCGCTCTGCAACTCTGCTGTCCTCACCTTGAGACTTGTTTCATGCAGATTGCCTTTCCCAGATACCTGAGCTCCACTAGCTTTAATTACAAGATGGCCTTTTGAGCCCCTGAAGCATGCTGTCGTGCATCCAAATCTGTTAGACTGAGAGAAGCTATGCCATTTCTGGCAATATAGTAGTGTTACCAGGGCACGTAATGGAGTTCAGTGCTTTCTTATACTGTGCATAAGTAAGCTTTATCCTGTACTATGCTTTCTGAAGCCATCTAGGTCTGGTAACTTGCTTAAACAGAGGGGGCTTTATCAAGTCACAGCTGGGATTTTCTATAGTATGTCAGCTCTCTAAAGTTTAAAACACAACTGTTTTGTCCCACTCTGATCCCTGGCTGGAGGACTCTAGTGCTACAGGCTGGCTGACATGACAATTACTGTCTTCGAAGAGTCAAGATTATGGACTTCAAATTGGTGTTCGTTTGTTCTGCTAGTTTGCTAATGCAAGTCCTTTATCTCCTTCAAACAATCAACAACTTGTTCTGATTAATCTGTTAATGACTGTCTATCTGCCATCATTATAATGAATTACTAATGACTTGCTGGTTGGGCAGTGCTGGCTTGCCCAAATGTAACTATTTTTTGTAATAGCACATAGTGTATATTCCATTGCTTTTAAGTGCTTCAGAATAGGAGAGCAGTTGACATGCTTGCTGTTCTGCTCTTGTTTGTCTGCTCTTCAGCTGCTCTGAAAGAGAAAGCCATGTATTTTCTTACTCAAATTTTCTACTCCTGAGTCATTGTAGGAAAAGGTCATCCTGTGCTGGCCTGTATGCATCATCAGCTCATTCTCTCTTCTTCTGGTCCCGTAGCAAAGTAGTTTCAGTCCAGATATTCTTTACCAACTTTTGATCCTGTTGTAGGCGTGCTTTCAGAAGAGTGGCGCATCAGTTGTTGCGATACGTAAATACATCATCCACAAATACCCTTCCCTGGAGCTGGAGAGAAGAGGCTATCTTCTAAAGCAGGCCTTGAAAAGGGAGCTGGAGAGGGGAATCATCAGGCAGGTAAGGGTCACTCTGCAGAACGGTGCTGCCGGTGGTGCTACTGAGTCATGCAGGAATTTAGGAAACAATTAGCAGGCCTATGGGGAGATCATGTTCTTCCTTTTGGAGGTTCTTCAATCTCTGTGTCCATTCGTTTAGACACTGATAGAATTTCTGCATGATTCTGCCAGTCACACGCAGTGCACTGTTTTTGTTTGTGCCCTGGGAGGTGGCTGTTCCATGGTGGGAAATTGCTGCTGTGTTGCTGTACGATGCATCTTCAACCTGAGTCTAGCAACATCCCTTCTGCAGTAGCGTGTTGCCTGCAGCTTACAGCTGTGATGCCAATGTTGTTAGGATCTCCTGGTCGGGGCAGGAGGGTATGTTTGTTATGTCTAGCCATGGCTTCTGGTGTACTGAAGTGGATTCAAATCCCACTTCTGCCCCTTGCAATTAATCACCAGGATGAGCATTCATTCAGAATCTGTTAAAAAGTGTTGCTTAGTCTCCTTCACAGTTATTATCCTCTGTTACTTTGCTAAAGGCTGACACAGGCTTTATTTTTAACTAGGTGAAAGGGAAGGGAGCTTCTGGAAGCTTTGTGGTGGTGTCTAATGCGGGAAAAACTGTTCAAAAAGCCAGAGACAGAAAGGTAAGGCGAAGTGCTTCAAACATGACTCTGAAACTTCTTATTTAATGCATCTTATGAAATGCAGCTTAGCGCCAACTAGAACAATTTCGTCCTCCTTGCTGTACCTTCCTCCCCCAGTACAGTAATTAAAACATCTCTATCACTGAAATCAGAATCAGAAAGCTAGTATGAGAAATTAAGTAGAATAATAAAAATCTTAGTTTTAAAATGTTTACATTAAACCCCTAGGCTTTGGTTCTGAGGCAGAAAACTGAATAACCCTGAAGTTCCTCTTCTGTCTTTACCTGGTAGAGAGAGATGCCTCTCAGGTATTGTAAGAGAACTTTCTGCAACTGCTGTTTCTGTTTTATCTGTTGCGTGGATAAATGGAAGACTTCAATCTTCAGCACTATCTGTCAGACAAATGTTTTCCATTAGCTGAGAGGACAGAGGGAAGAAGTAGTGAATGTCCTAAGGCTTCTGGAGGGGAGCTGCAGGAGTTGGGTGTGTATTGTTCTGAGGTACTGTCATGTCTGAGTCCTGGCACAATTAGTTGTGTTCCAGCACTGCTGTTCTTTGCTCCCTGCAGCACTGGATGTGTGACAAACATTTCTAATGCTGCAATTTCAAAATGTGTAGCTGGAGTTGCTGGCTTAGACAGGTGATCCTGGAGAGTTTTCTAGCACTTCGTGCTTACCTCTTGGCTGTGGGGCAGACCCCAGGGCCTAAACTTGGTGGTGATAGGGACACATTCGATACCAGGACACTAAGAAACTAATTAGGTGTAACTTCTTTTTAGATAGAACTGTGGGCTCCATGGCAAGTTTGAGTAAGGCACCTGATAACTATTAACACATCACTTTTCTTGTCTGCAGCATATTTGTGTATTTGTTTTTAGTCACTTTTTCCATGTCACAGCAAAACAAATGGATGGCTTTTGGTTTGGGTGAATTCAGCTGGCAGGTGAGCAGCACCCTCACCTGTTTGACCATTTGCAAAGCTCCTGTTCAGTATCAAAACTGTTAGACTTCAGCAGATTTCCTGGCTGTGTTCTTTACATAAAGCGAATCATCCCCTCCTGATAGCAATAAAGCAATGGAGGAGAATTCAGGAGAAAAGCAAAACTCCATGCTGTCAGTTGAACAGAAGTGCTGTTTATTGTTGGGAAAATTGGACCTGTGTGAACAGGTCTTATCTTGATGGTTTTTGTTTTTTTGTCAGCATGAATCATTTTCACCTGACTCTGTCATTGAAAAGTAACAGAGAAAAAGCCTCTTAAAAAAATAAAGAGAAGGAAAGTGTTTACTTAAAAATAATAATGATAATTAAAAAAAAAAAAAAAAAAAAAAAAGGAAATAGATGTTGCTAAGTGCTCAGTATAATTATGTTTACTAGACTTTGCTAGACTCCCATGAGAATTCCAACAGATTTGCTAGATTTTACTTAAACTGCTAAATTGTCTGAATTCCAAGAGCTGCCTTACAGAACTTGATTTTCCAGATCTGTGGCAGTGTCAGGAGCACTGCTTACCTGTGCACTGCTGGTTCAGAAGAAAGCAGGTCTAGGCCCCACTGATGCATGAAGGTGTATGTATTTCAGAAAAGCACTTCCGTTTCGACTCCAGAGCAACAGGTGAAGCTGGAAGACATCCTGCCACTGGCTTTCACCCGTCTTTGTGAGCCAAAAGAAGCTTCTTACAGCCTGATCAAGAAATACGTGTCTCAGTATTATCCCAAACTCAAAGTAGACATCAGGTGGGTGCAGGGGTCAGCTCTTGAAGCAGAGCGTCCCTGAAATGCTGTCTTCCTCTGGCTTCGCCTCCCTCTGCAGTAATGCCATTCAGTATTGCATCGGGCGGCAGGCAGGTGGTGCTCTGCACCGTGCAGCCTGAAGGAAGGCTTGAGAAGAGCCGTGCCTCTTTGCTGCGTCCCTCCACGCGCCAGCTTTGTTCTCGATGCTGACATCAGCGGTGCTGTATGCATCTCTGCCCTTAGCAGGAACCAGAGATGGTTCATAGATGTGTGGATATGAAGGCCTGTCCTCAGGATTTTTTCCTGCGTGGTTTTGAGCGCTTTAACTGGCACACACTTAAAATAATCTGAGAGTTTGTATAAATGGAATGTATCAAGGGTTGGGAAGGAAGCTAACCTGGTAAAGCTCCGTGCATCGCCTCTTAGTGGGACTTGTGCTCAGCCCTTCGTTGGCTGTGAGCTGACTGATTCATTGCCCACCGAGTCCCATCAACAGACGTGTATTTTGAAATGAATAAATCCTTCCAAATGAAGCTTGTTTGTTTCTGGATATGCAGTGACACCCAAAAAGCACTGCAGTAGAATTTCTGCTCATCTCATGTAACCAGCACTTGCTGACAGATCTCCATTTAAAACGTCTGTATGTAGGCAGATGCCTCCTGTAACTACAGCTTCTCTCACGTTCTCTGTAGAGAATTGTTTCTCTGTTTGTTTTTCACGCTGTCGGTGTGTGTCAGTAAAGCTTTATCCTCCTGTATTTCAGACCCCAGCTGTTGAAGAATGCCCTGCAGAGAGCAGTAGAAAAGGGCCAGCTAGAGCAGATCACAGGGAAAGGAGCATCTGGGACATTCCAGGTCAGAGCCGGAGTTCGTCTTCTTTTGTTGTCTGTAATAACCAGGAGCCTTGGATATAAGTTAACGTGCCCTCCCCACCCCAGCTTTATTGGGTGCCCCTTTCTTTAGCAGCCTGTCATGTTCAGCAGTTGTTAAACTATGAAGCAGTAGGACTCTTTCTCTTCTTGGTCTGAATTTGTGGAACCAGACCCCCTGCCTTCCTTGCTTAGCATGCTCTGCACACTGCTTCAGCTCTGAGTCATTAGCACAGTAGGGGAGATGGTGGGGTAAGCTTTCCATTGCTAATTGTAAGTGCAGTGGGTACCCCAGGTGTCTGCAGTGTTCTTCCTTGTGTCTCTGCCATATCTGTCTCTTGGGTACATCTGGTCTGTGGGATGGAGGAAGGTGTGATTTATTTCCTTTCCTGAGCAACAGGCCCTTAGATTGCCACAGACTTGCAGTGTGCTTTGGGACTGGGCAGTGTGTTACCAATGAAAAGCACTCCAGGCCAGCTGACTCAGTAGGCCTGTCCTACCGTTAAGGCTGGGAGAAAGCGTTCCTCTGCAGTGTTTTAATGTAAAACATATCTGTGCTAATGCAGGAGCGCCGACCCACCTGGTGCAGAGGAGCTTGTCCTGACCTGGTTTGGGAGAATTTTGTCTTGATGCTTTTCTCTTCCTCCTTGGAAAATAGCTGAAGAAGTCAGGGGAGAAGCCCCTGTTGGGTGGGACTCTGATGGAAGATGCCATCCTGTCTGCTATTGCGGCCATGAACGAACCGAAGACCTGCTCCACCACAGCACTGAAGAAGTATATCCTGGAAAACCACCCAGGGACCAACTCCAACTTCCAAGGTGAAGTCCCAGGACACTGGTTGGTTTGGTTTTTTTTCCCCAAACTCTGAAGGAGAGCCCAGCAGCTGCAGATGCTGGGGCAGATTTAAACTACTTGGTTGAGCTTGCTAGGGAATAGAGAGCTGCTCTTTGTGCAGAGATGCTAAGTGTTTTTAATTCCCGTAAGTTCTTTTCAAATCTGACTACTTTCTGAGATGTAATGCGTGTTTCTCTTGTCTGTGACACTTTCCTGGGAGGGGAGAGCTGTATTCAACTACTTTTTTGTTCTCGAACTGCCAACAGTATTTTTCTCTGTATTGAAAAGCTGCAGCTTGACGTAAACACAATTCCTGCTTGCTTTTTATGTAGAGAAGTTTCACAATGTAACTCGAAAAAAAAACGAGAATAAAAACCTGTAAACATCCCTCTTAGTGTTTTGTTTGAGGACCTCCTCTGGCTCTCATTTTGAAAAGTCAAGCGAGTGAGGAGGGAAGAGACGAATCCAGTTGTGTTTGGAATAATATTTGGCATATCTTCATTCCCAGTAGTAACAGTAGTGTATATTTTGATTGTTGTGTGAACAGAAGCAATAATAACAGTAGATTTTTCTCCTGTCTTCCTTGTTTTTTTTTTGGTTTTTTTTTTTTTTCGGTCTGAGCCCTTAAGCAGTTGTTTAATGTAGGCTGAAGGTCATTCAAAGCAGTGTGAGCTTGCCACAGTTTCTAGTAGTATCAGACCTAAAGGTAGATAATCTTGCTGCCATGGCTTTGTGATGCTGGAGCAATTCCTCTAGAGCTGAGGCCAGAGAGGAGGTTGCTGATGTTACAGTCATCACCTGGAGCTGAAGCTCAGCATCCACACTCTTAGGCAGGGTTGAACAAAGTGTGGAGGAGTGCAGCCTCCCTCCCAGCAGTTCAGGCTGAAGAAGTTGCCTGTGGCCTTTTGCCAGTGAGAGGTGGATGCCAAGTTTCACTTGTTAATCTTGGGGTAGGGAAGAGAGTTTCCAGGCTTGCTTGTTTGTCTTCAGGACCGCTGGAAGCTGTCATGGCCTTAGAGGCCCATGTTCAGCTGGTCTCAAGTGCATGTCAGTCTTGCAAGTCAGATAAGGAAATCTCAACTAGCAATGTGTTGTTGTCTTTCTCCTTCCATTACTTAAAATTAGTTTTACTGCTCTCTGCTCTGTTTTTAGGAGCAACCAGAGGAGGATCTGGCAGGCAGGTGCATGCTATGCAGCCAGTGCTCCACATCATGTTACGTGGAGCTCAATCAGTTATGGATCTTGGATGAGATCACACTGTGTGTGTGTGTGTGGCATCTGGGGCATCAGGCCCAGACAGCACGGCTTCATGAAAGGCAGGTTGTGCTTAACCAACCTCATCTCCTTCTTTGTCTGGGTGACCAGACTGGTAGATGAGGGAAAGGCTGTTAATGCTAAAGTCTAGGTAGACTACAAAGCCTTTGGCACGGTGTCTCACAGGATTCTCCTGGGGAGACTGCCTGCCCATGGCCTGGACAGGTTTGGGTAAGGAACTGGCTGAGGGCCGTGCCCACAGGTTGTGGTAATGGAGTGGAGTCCAGCTGGCGACCCGCTTCAAGTGGTGTCCCCCAGGGCTCGGAACTGGGACCCTTCTTGTTTAATATCTTTATTGATGACCTGGATGAGGGCATTGAATGCACCCTCAGTAAGTTTGCAGATGACACCATGTTGGGAGGTGGTGTTGATCTGCCTGAGGGCAGGGAGGCCCTGCAGCGGGATCTGGATAAGCTGGATGGCTGGGCTAAGGTGAATGGGATGAGGCTCAACAGGGCCAAGTGTCAGATGCTGGACTTCGGCTACAACAACCCCATGCAGCGCTGCAGGCTTGGGGATGAAGGGGGAAGACTGAAGACGAAGGGGGTGTTGGCTGATGCTCAGCTGAACATGAGCCAGCAGTGGGGCCAGGAGGGTCAACTGCATCCTGCGTTAGAAATGGTGTGGCCAGCAGGAGAGGGAGGTCACCATCCCCTGTACTCAGCACTGGTGAGGCTGCACCTCAAGTGCTGTGTTCAGTTTTGGGTACAAGAAAGATATTGAGGCCCTGGAGCGTGTCCAGAGGAGGGCAGCGAAACTGGTGAGGGGTCTGGAGCATGAGTCTTATGAACAGTGGCTGAGGGAGCTGGGATTGTTCAGTGTGGAGAAGAGGAGGCTCAGGGGAGGCCTCACTGCACTCTACAGATTCCTGAAGGGAGGTTGTGATGAGGAGGGGCCTCTTCTCCCAGGCCGAGAAACAAACAGGACCCAAGGAAATGGCCCCAAGTTGTAGCAGAGGAGGTTTAGGTTAGACGTAAGGAAGAACTTTTTCTTTCAGTGGTCAGGCAAGGAGTGGCTGCCCAGGGAGGTGGTGCAGTTGCCATCCCTGGCAGTGTTCAAGAGGCGCCTGGATGAAGAGCTGTGAGATGTGGGTTAGTGCTTGTGGTGGCAGTGGTGATGGGACTGTTGGACTCGATCTTGCAGGTCCTTTCCAACCCTGTGATTCTAGGATTCTGTGATTCTTCCCTCACACTTATAACTCCAGTCAGATCCTTCACATGCTGCTATTGATCTTCGGTGCCCCGGGTAGGAATAGTTTGTGTTGCTCCTGTTTATGAAACAGAGTTATTTTATTAGCTTATTTTAACAGACACTTTGGAGAACATTCTCTGAGGAGCTGAGACTTGAGTTTGTTGGGCAGAAGTAGTTAAGCACTGCTATCGAATGCATTCTGAAAGAATGATGCCCTAATCATGACGTCAAAAACCTGCGCTGTTCTTGACTTCTTCCTTCAGTGAATTTAAAGCCTCACTTGCCTAATGTTCACGAGCCAACACTTGAATCCTATCAATTGTTTGAATCTTTGAGAAAATTAATTATGAAGTGATTATTATGTTGTATTGAAAGGGGAAGCTTTGAAGTTCAGTGTTCTTGCTGGGTGCTTCACGAAGCAGCAGATCATTGGTGAGTGTAGGAAGAAGCATGCAGTGATGTCCTCATGAGTTTCAGCTCTGGTGCAGTTTCACTTCCCTTCAGGTATCCTGGGAAAGAAGATTTCATACTGGCTCCCTGTCTCTTATTTCAGAAGGCGCTGCAAGAGCAGTAAGATCAGACCAGTGGGCTACGATAGTAATTAGGCCTTTCTCTGATTTTTTTTTTTTTTTTTTTTTTTTAATTTTTATTTTTTCCCTACAGTGCATCTACTGAAGAGAACCCTGCAGAGATGTGAGAAGAACGGCTGGTTGGAGCAGATTTCTGGAAAGGGCTTCAGTGGAACCTTTCAGCTTTGCTTCCCTTATTACCCTAGGTAAAGGGCTTGGCTGTGAAATGATGTCAAAGATGGGTCAGCCAGAGAGCATTGCTGAAGTTCGTAGGCCAACCTCCTGCTTATAGGGAAGTCTTTGGAGGGTTTAATAACTGAAAAACCACAGCATTGTCACCTGTCTTGCTTTAGGTGATGACATTACTTGGTTTCTGACTGTGAGTGGACATAAAGCTGACTTCATTAGAAGGGAGACTTAAGGGCAGTGAAAATACTAGGCTAAATGCTCTCACGTACTCTGTCATGATGGTTCTGTGCTTTGTTTTTTTCCAAGATAGTAGCTATTGAAGTGTTCCCATGCTAAAACAAATTTGCGTGAGCAGGTGGAGAGTGTTGTGTTTAATGCAGGGGTGCTGATAACGAGAGGGCCTGGTCTTTTCGTGGTGCTGATGTGGAGGAGAGGTGGGAGGAGGGAAGCTGGCCTAGGTTGACCACCATGAGACTGAAAGCAGCCTTTTCTCTGCTGCTGTGAGTGTATGTTGTGCTGGGCCGCAGGGAGTCCCGGGATGGTGACTTCGTGTCCCACTAAGAGCCACATGGCAACGCAGTAATTAATGCTTCTGCTTACCACCTTCTTCTGTCGTGTATGTGTGAAGTCCTCAGTAGCTCTGGCCTGCATTCAGAGCACTGGAGTCTGATCTTGTTCTTCCATTGTTTGTACAGAAGGAGCAATTAGGGTTGGCCAAGGCCTTAGAATTAAGTTGTGCTCTGACAAGAATTCTCTTGTAGCCCAGATGTGCTCTACCCAGAGAAGCAGCAGGATGAGGACTCTGAAGAATCTGATGAGGAGGAAGAGGAGGAATCTGAGGAGGAAGAAGAATCTGAAGATGAGGAGTCTGAGGAGGAAGAGCCACCACCAAAGAAGAGGTATGGTAGCAAAAGAGAGAAATGGGCTCCTTTGGATGAATTAGAAGTGACAGTTGGAGCTGTAGAGTGTTTTGCTGTGGCTGCTGACCCACAAGCTGCCACTCAGGAGATATTAGGAACTTTATTTTCCAGTAGTTTTCTGAACTCCTGGGGGAGCTGTTAGGATCAGGACTTCTCCAGGATGTGTCTGCAGAAGCAATGCTCTGCTCCACAGATGATAATCTGTCACTCCATAGCTGGAATTCCTCTAGATGAGAGAAATACTTGTTCTCTGTGGTGCCTTTAATCTCCTTGGTGCCTTTTGTGCTCTACAAAAGAGCGGCGCTCCGTGTGGCCCTGCTTGGACTTGTTGTTTCCTCAGGAAAACTTTTTCCTATGGTATCGTCTGCAGTTGTGTAGCCGGACAGGAAACCTGTCTCACTCAGAATGTGGGTTTAAGATGAGTGTTTGAATAATAATAAAATCACTAATAAAATCACTGTCAGCTCGCTGGATTGTTCTGGCAATCGACTTAGGCATGGAAACAGACAAATAATGGCAAGCAGTCTCACAGAGGAGCCAGTGCTCTGCCACTGAGATCTTGGGGGATGGAGAAGCGCGTGGCGCGGTGTATAACCAAGATGTTATAGTCACAATATAATTGTGTATAATCAATAGAGATCAAGATGTTATAATTGCAATATAATCAAGAGAGTAAGGCAAAACAGACAATGATCACAAAAGAGAATAAGTGGAAGAGCTTACCCTTGGGTTGAGCTCACCAGAAGATACCAAAAGAGGGGATCTTCAGAAGAGATCCTTCCCCTCTGGTAGCCAGCTCTTAAATAGGTCCACCTTCACCTGTGCTCCTCTGGCTGACTCATGGCTCACCTCAGGTGATCAATCAGAGGTTCAGGCCGTGACTCAGCAGTTCCCATACACGCGGCAAGGTCCACCGCAGGGCTCCTTGCTCTGCGATTTGGCTAATGAAATGTACTGCTGCATGAAGGAACATCCGTGGTAAAGAGCAGAGATGCCAAGATCTGTTTCATTTATGTAAATTGATGACAGCAGCTCTGCTCTGAGTCGCGTTTGCGCCTCTGCTGAGATCTTGTGCCGCCTTTCTGACAGGATTCAGAAGAGACCTCCTCCAAAGTCACGGAGCAGGGCTCCTCCGATGAAGCGAAGAGAATCCAAGCCCAAGCCCAGAAAGACCCCTGCAGCCCGCCGGGGGAAAGCGAAGCCCCCACCCAAGGTGAAAACCCCTGCAAAGAAAGCCAAACCAGCAGCCCCTGTCATCAAGAAACCCTCTGGTGGCAGCTCTTCCAAGAAACCAGCAGCTAGCGGGAGGAAGGAGGTGAAACCTTCTGCCAAGGGCAAATCTGCCATGAGGAAATCTCTCCGGGCAAAAAAGTAAATATTTCCACTGTCAGGGGATCCCACGATCAAATCCACAATCTTGTTTTATAAAGTCAACGTGCATTTGTATTTTAGTTCTGATGCTTAAACACTTTTTTTTTTTTTTTTTTTTTCTTCTTGAATGATGGGGGAAAAAGCTGAAAACTAAATCAAACAACCTAAGCATTTGTTAGATCTCAGTGCTGTGCCTTGTGCCTACCCCTCCCCTGGAACAAGTCATCTTTAGTTTCTACAATAATCTTAAGACTTTTCTAGGACCTGTAATCTGTACATTTTATGGTGTTTTTCTTGGGTTTGAGGGGAGGGCAGCGTTTAAAAATTCTTCAAAGAAGTTATTTGTATTTCCAGGCAGCAGGAACATGGTGATTGGGGGAAGTATGGTTCTTAATTGAGAAGGTACGACGGCACTGGAGTCCTCCTTAGATCCCCTGCATGATGAGGTCCTTCCTGCTTCTGTGAAGGAGCAGTGTATCTATACAGCACTTGCACTGAGCCCTGGAGGTGCTCCTTTTGCTCAGCTGTGATGCTGGCAGGTCGAGGGGGGGTGTGTGGCTTTTTCAGTAAGTGGGAGAGTGGGTCCAGGTCTTCAGTCAGCAGAGGCTGCCGTGTTACCGAGCATCTGACACCAGAGGGGCTCTAGAAGGGGTGGTTCTTGGGCGGGTGATTTGAATTAGTGTTTCCATGCTACTTCTGTTACCTTGAAACCAAAATATATAAAATTCTTCTTGAATCCAACTTTCAAATGTTTTTAAGAGATGAAGAGCCTAAGTTTTGTCACTTCTTGTTTACCCTTTTTTAAAAAGAAAAGTTGGAAAGCTATACAGTTGCTAATGTAGAGATGTTGATAAGTGAAGAACATGCAGTTTGCTAAAATAAAATGAAACTAGATTCCGGGCCTGCTCTGTGTGTCCTTTACCTTCCTCGCCACAGCTTTCTCCTGGAAGCCCAGGGAGGAGAGAATTGCAGTGAGTGTGCTCTGCAGAGGCAAGCCTTTGTTAGGAGTACGCTGCTGGCAGCAGAGCATCCTGGACTTCCCTTGAATGGGGCAACGTGAGTGATTCAAGCATGAGCTCTTTGCTTAACGTGCTTTTGGGAAGAGCTTTGCATCTGCCACGCTGGGGGCAGTGGAAGTGCCTTCAGAAATGAGTGCAAAATGGAAAAGCCTCCTTACTCTGTTCACCCTTTTCAGGTGCGGCCTCAGTGTGCTGCCTCCAATAACAGGGAGTTTAAAAAGCTCTTACAGAAATGTCCTCCATTGCTCGCAGCCCTGGAGCAAGGATGCAGAGAGCAGGCTCATGAAAGCTGTGGCTGACATGAAACAGAGGGAAGGCACTCAAGTGACCCAGGGAGCTGTAAAGCACTTAACTTTGGTCAGTGACTCTCCTGCTGCTGCATACTGAAACAGGGGGTTTTGGTGGTGGTTTCCTCCAAGGCAGATCTGAATAAAACCTTCTCTCTAGGATGCTTGTGGGGCTATGGGGTCCTCCTCCCAGCTGCTGTCCTGCAGCACCTCTCTACTCCCTCTTTGGGGTAACGTTTCCACCCCAGCAACCCAAAAAATACCTGCTGAATCACCTGCACAGCTCTGATCCTTTGCACCCGAGTGCAATTTAATTTTGCTGCCAAGGTTGTGCTAAAAGCTGCCATTGGTCACCTCCAAACTCTTTAGTTGTGGCTTTTTTTGCTGGTTGGGCCACCTGCCTTCCCAGGGCAGCCTGGAGCAGCAACTGCTTTCCACTGGGGCTGGATGGGGAGCTCAGCCTGCAGCACAGCATAGTGGGGCACCAGGAGAAAGCAGCAGCTCTCTTTGGGAAGCTTTGTGCCAGCTCTGCTGCGTGTCCCTAGCCTGCTTCCTGCCCAGACGGGCTCTGTTGTGTTGTTCCCTCGCTCCCATCTGTCCTTCTTTTCCTTTCTTTCCTCTGTTTCAATGCTGCTGGCTCCACCAGGGCACTCTGTGGTGTCTCAAAGCACTCAGCATTGGTGGCAGCCCTTTTCCTTACACCCTTGGGTGCACCAAGGCTGGCGCTGGGGTTTTTAGAGGCGCCTCCAAAGGCTGGGGCTGCGCCTTCTCCCCAGTGCGTTGCCTTCCCTTCACAAGTGTCTCTGGCTGTGGGCAGCTGCTGTGTGCTCCCAGTCAGAGCGTTTTTGGGTTTTCCTGGCACAATGTTAGGATTTGAGCATGTGTCTTTGGGTTCGGGGGACGTAATGTTGGTATGCGGGGGTGCAACACTGAGGTTTTGGGGCACAACTTGGAGTTTTTGGGATGTGGCGTTGGCTTTACATATGGCTGCATCCCTTTCTTTGCAGGAGCCATCCTCCGTTGTTTCTATATGACTACGTGACCAAAAGCAGAGTGGACGGATGACAGGGGGCAAGGTGGGAATTGGGGTGAGGAGGGCAGGGGTGGTGAGCGTGCAGCCACGTGTGTGCAGTGGGGAGAGGGCTCGGCTTCTCAAAGGAAAGAAGGAAAAAAAAAAAAAAAGCAACGGGTTGCAGCTGCGTTTTCCAAAAAGCCCGAGCCTTTCTGCTCGCCGTCGCTTCCAAGAGACGGAGAAAACGGGGAGGTAAATTGCAGTGATTCATCGCGGGCAGATCGGAGGCAGGAAATGGGAGTTCGCTGCCTGCCCCGTGCCCGCCGTGGGCTCGCGCTTGGCGGGGCCTGGCGTGCAGCGGGGGCCTGACAGCAGGGCAGAGCATCCCTGCAGAGCATCCCTGCGGAGCATCCCTGCGTCGCGCCCGGCGGAGCCCCCAGGGAACGAAAGCGCCGGACTGAGGCCGAGAACCGGAGGATTTCGCCTGCGTTTCTCTGGAGCTGCCCGTGAGCGGGGGAACGGGGCCCGCTGTGGTGGGCGAGCTCCTCTCGGGGTCAGCATCCTTCCCTGGGGGAGCTGCGGGGTGGCGGTGGCGGTGGGCTGGGGGGCCCCATTGAGAAATGGAGCGTGGGAAAAAGGGGGCGGGGCTTGGGGGCTGCCTGCCTGCGGATTGGCTGGGGGTGGGGGAAAGACCCCCGAACGGTGCCGGAATAGATGGGGCAGCCCTGAGCCCGCGCCCACCCGGGATGTGCCTGGACCCCCAACCCGTGTTTTTTGCAGCCAGCGGTGTCACGAGTTGCACGGGTCTCAGCCCCGAAGCCCCTTTGAGGCCCATCCTTACCGCTAACCTCTCCCCTTCCCCTGCCACGAGATGCTGCCACCCCCAGGGTGCAGGGACCCCAGCCTGGGTTCAGGATTTGGGTACCTGTGGATCTTGCTTGGGTCTCATTTGGGCCGCATGCACCTTATTTGGAGTCAGGGTGTGGGGACCCCTGACATCACAGGTGGATCAGGATGTGGGTGCCTGCATCATGCTTGGGACGTGGGAGCCCTGCACGGAGCTTAGGGGCAGAGGATGAGAAAACCCTGTTATGGTGATGTGGTGATGAGTTTGGGACATGGGGACTTTGCACTGGGGGGCAGGGTCTGGATTTGGGGACACTTGCACAACGCTCCTGGATCCCAACCCTTGCACTGAGGCTGGGCCGTGGGGACCCTCGCATGGTGCTTGGGGTGAGGTTGCGGTTGGGAGCCAGGAGCCTTTACTGGGGTAAAGATCTGGGAACTTCTGTGATGGGGTCAGGATTTGGGAACTTCTGCATCGGGGTGAGGATTTTGGGACCTCTGCATTGCGGTAAGGATTTAGGAAGCTGCTGCCATGAAGAAGAAGATGACAGCCAACGGGAGGGGGCCGGATCCGGCACCACCACCCCCTCGTAGCCGGGGCATCGCCAAGGCAGCAGAGGTGAGGCCATTGGGGTGCAGGTGTGACCCACAGTGCCGCATCCCCTTGTCGTTGGGGAATCCCATGGGGGGCTGCTGAAGCAGGATGGGATTGTCGCCCCCCCCAGTACGTGGGTTCCTTCATGCTGGAGGAGCTGGAGCTGCAGCAGCACGCAGGGCAGCTGGAGGAGCAGCTGCGGGCGCTGCAGGTGGGCCATCCCCATTGCCCTCAAATCCCCACGGCTGGTGGGGGGATGCCAGATGGCAGCAGGGGGACCCCACCACCACCCCGTGTCCCTGCCAGGATTGCCCCAGGAGGAAGCCTGTGGTGCTCAGGTTCAGCTTGCAGGGACTGAAGGTCTACGGAGCCGACGGGGAGGTGGGTGCTGGGTGCAATGTGCGATGTGATGCACAGGGTGCCGGATGCCACTTTGAAGATGTGCTCTGGGGGATCTGCAGCACTCAGAGCGCAGCTGCCCGCTTTGCAGACGAGCATTTGCAGCCAGGCTCGGGCCGGGCTCTGCTCACACCATGGTCCCAGCCAGGCCCCGCTGTCGCTGCAGACGCTGCTGATGGCGCACGCGCTGCGCCGCATCCTGTACAGCACCTGCCTGCACGCCGAGCGCCAGTTCGCCTTCGTGGCCCGCAACCCTCGCAGCCCCCCCAGCTCACTGTTCTGCCACCTCTTTGTGGGCCCCCCAGGCGAGGTGCCTGCCTGCTCCCACCCTCCCACCCCTGAACGCTTCAATCACTTCTGCGTTATCAATCTGACTCTCTCCCCTCTCTCCCTGCAGGTGCACGTGCTGCACCTGCTGCTGTGCCGCTCCTTCCAGCTCTGTTACCTGCAGGCGCACCCTGAGCTGCAGGCGGCTGAGCCCGACCCCCCCCCGCTGCTGCGGGAGCCCCTCAACCCCGAGGAGGTGTCGCGCAACGTCAACGCGCTGCTGTCCCTGCGGCGCCTGCCTGCCCTCGGACCTCTGGGTGCAGGGGTGGGTGCAGACCTTTGCAGCGCAGCACTGCACGGATCGCTGCACAGCACACTGCATGGGAAATGCCTGCGTGGTGCATCTTTGCGCAGAGCGTCTTTGCACGACACACCTTTGCAAGGAGCGTTTCTTTCATTGTGCATTTTTTCCCCATGGTGCACCTTTCCACAGCGGATCTTTTGCACAATGCATTTTTGCACAACATATTTTTGCATGACTCATTTTTTCGCATGCTGCATTTTTGCACAGCACATTCTTTGCACAGTCCATTTTTGCACGGCGCATCCTTGCATGGTGCATCTTTGCACAGCATTTCTCCATCATGTCTTGCACAGCCTTTCCTTGCACAGATTTTGCACCAGGTGAACTTCCTTCCCACGGTGCTTCACATACTTTGCACAGCACGTCAGCAAAGCCTCTTTTTGCAGGCTGCTTTCACAGCGCTTCCCCTGCTGTTTTCAGTGCTGCGTTTTGCACAGCCCCTCTTTGCGTGGCCTTTTCCAGCACGCAGTTGTACGCAGCACATCTTTGCACAGAGCATTTTGCACAGCCCACCCCGCCTGGCTTTATCTCATGGCGTTTTGCACAGCACTTTTTGCACAGCACTTTTGCACAGCACTTTTGCACAGCACTTCTTGAACAGCACTTTTGCACAGCACACTCCATGGCCCTTCCTCACACGGCCTTTCCTTGCTCCATCTTTAACTCTCAGCCTATTTCCACAGCACGTCTTTGCACAGCATCTGCTCCAAGAGAGACGGGTGGAGGCCGAGGGCCGCGCTGCGGGTTGGCACCCAGGGAACCCGTACTGCTCCCCAGTGCTGGTGCGCAAAAAGGCGATCCGCAGCAAAGTGCTGCGCTCGGGTGCCTACCGAGACTGCGGGGCTGAGAGTCAACTGCAGCACAGAGAGGGTGGTGAGTGGGGGGGGCGTGGGGACGGGGAGGGGGCCGGGGTCAAAGGGCACTTTGCGGCCCAGAGGGGGGCCTGGGTGGCAGCCCGCGCCTCGGGGGCGTCAAAGAGATGATCTGGGGTCAAGGAGGGGATTTGGCATCAAGGAAGGGATCTTGGGGTCAGACTGGGTATTTGGGACTGAGGAGAGGATTTGGGGGGTCAAAGAGGGGATTGCGGGGCCATTGAGGGGATTTAGGGTCAGAGAAGGAATTTGGGTGGAGGAGAGGACTTTGGGAGTCAAAGGGATGATTTGGGGGTCGAGGAGGAAACCTTGGGGTCAGTGAAGGGATTTGGGGTCAGAGAGGGAACTGTGGCTTGAGAAGAGGATTTGAGGATGTTTGAGGGGATTCTAGCGTCAGAGAGGGGTTAGAAGTTGAAGATTTGGGGGATCAAAGAGAGGACTGGGGGGCTAATGAGGGGATTCGGGACATTTGAGGGGACTTGGGGGTCAGGGAGGAGATTGTGGAGCCATTGAGGGAATTTGGGGTCAAGATGGGGATTTCAGGGTCAGAGAGGGGACTTGAGATTGAGGAGAGGATTTAGGGGGTCAAAGAGAGGATTTGGAGGTTAAGGAGGGGATTGTGGGGCCATTGAGGGCATTAGGGGTCAAGATGGGGATTTGGGGCTCAAGGAGGGTATTGTGGGGCCACTGAGGGGGTTTGGGGTCAAGGTGGGATTCTGGCGGATCAGGAAGGGGATTTTGGGGTTCAGGAGAGGATTTGGGATCAAGGAGGGGATTTTGGAGTCAGAGAAGGGATTTGGGGTTGCGGGTTGAGGATCTGGAGTCATTTGAGGGGATTCTGGGGTCAGAAGGGGTCAGAGGTTGAGGATTTTGGGGATCAGATAGAGGATTTGGAGGCCAACAAGGGGATTTGGGGTCATTGAGAGGATTTGGGTGTCAACAAGGGGATTTGGGGTTGTTGAGGGAATTCAGGGTCAAAGATGAGATTTGGGATCAAGAAGAGGCGATTTGGGATGAGAATAGGATTTTGAAGTCAGAAAGGATTTGGGGTCAAAGAGGGTTTTGGAGCCAACGCGAGGATTTGGCATGAAGGATAGGATTTGGGGTTTAATGAGAGGATTTGGGGGTCAAGCAGGGGATTTAAGGTCAAAAAGAGGGAGACAAGGAGGGGATTTGGTGTGAATGATAGGAAATAGGGATTACTGTGAGGATTTGGGTGCCAAGGAGGGGATTTCGGGTTCAAAGAGGAAATGATTTTGGGGTCAGAGAAAGGTTTTGATGTCACGTAGGAGATCTGGGATCAAGGAGAGGATGTGATGTCAAGGATGCGATTTGGGGGTCAAAGAGATCTGGGGTTGAAGAGAGTATTTTGGGGGTGAGGGAGAGGATTTAGGGCTGAAGAAGAAACTTGGGGGGATGAGGGGATTTGGGGTGTAGGAATAGAATTTGGGACTCAAAGAGAGGATTTTGGGGCCAAGGAGGGGATTTGGGGCTGGTAAGGGGATTTGGGGTGAGGATTTGGGGATAGGATTTTGGAGTAAAGAGAGGATTTGGGGATCGATGAAGGGATATGAGGTCGTCAAGGGGAATTTGGGGTCAAGGAGGGGATTTGAGATCGAGGAGAGGATTTGGGCGTCACAGGAAGGTTTCAAGGTCAAGGAGGATATTTGGGATCAGGAGAGGCTTCGGTGGGAAGGACGGGATCTGGGGTCACATTTGGTGTCAGTGAGGGGCCAGGGATGGGATTTGGGCTCAAAGAGAAATCCTGGGGGGTGAGGAGGGGGTTTGGGGCCGGGCACCCACCCCACCTCCCCCAGCCCCATCGGGATGGGAGAGCAGAAGCGCGCGGGGCCTGGCGCTGCTCCCTGACACCGAGGCCGCCCTCGCCGAGAGCGTGTGGGCCTTCGCCGGCATCGCCAGGTGAGCGCTCGCCTCCCCGCCCCGCAGCCCCCGGCCGGCCCCGCACCCATCCGCGCGTCCCCGCAGGGCCGGCGGCGTGGCGCTGCTGCACGGAGACGCGCCGGGAGCCTTCCTGCTGCGCGGCGAGCCCGGCGGCGCCCCGCGCTGGTGCCTGTGGGTGCGCGCGCCCTGCGGAGTCGTGCCGTACTGCGTGCTGCGGACGCGGCAGGGCCGCTTCTGCGTGGAGGTGAGCGGGGGGCTGCGTGCTGTCGGTGTGCGGGTCGGGGATGCACGCACGGATGCGTTCGTGGACGGGTGCGTGTGTGCATAGGGACCACGGAACCGTAGGGGCCTCCAGAGATCGTCGAGTCCAGCTCCCTGCCAAAGCAGTTCCCCACAGCAGGTCGCACAAGCAGGCGTCCGGGCGGGTGTGGAACATCTCCAGAGGAGACTCCACCAGCTCCCTGCGCACATACATGCACCGGTGTGAACACGTTGTTGTGCACCTGCACCCACCTGTGCACCAACTGCATGGATGCACCAATGCAGTGTGCTGCGTCACACCGGTGTGTGGGTGCACGAGGGTGCGCTTGCATGAGGAATTCACACGTACGTGCACGAGCGCTTTTGGTTCCAAGCTGGACTGGTGCAAGATGGGTGGGTGCGTGGTTCGCTGGTCCTTCAGGGCATCGGGGTGCGTGAACGCAGGGGCACACTGTGCTTCAGCGCATTTCTTTAGAGCATGAGTGCACGGAGCACTGGTGATTCCCTTCCTGGTTGCACAGTGCAAGCACGCATCGGTGCACCGGCACACCGGCGCCTCTCTCCTGCAGCACTCCCACGCCGAATTCCGCTCCATGCCGGCGCTGCTCGCGCACTACTCGGCAGTACCCAGGGGCTGCTTCTGCCGCCTGAGCGTGGGGCGCCGCAACCCCGGCTACGAGCAGCGGGACGAAGACAGCCCGGCCCTGGTGCAGCACGAGCGCGGTTAGAGCGGACCGCAGCTCCGACCGCACGGAGCCCCACGGCCACACCGCGAATAAACAGCTTTGCGCAACCGCGCTGCTCCGGACTCCTTCTTGCATCCGTCCAGCTGCAGCCCCACGCTCACGCGACCACACCGCGCACAGCCCCTTCCACCCCTTCCCCCCCGCGCGGCTCCACGCACGCGCACACCACGCCGCACGTTCGCCCGTCTTCCCGCGCGCGCCCTCTGCGGCACGTGACCCGCGAGGCGGGGCCTCAAGCGGCGGTCCTGCTGACCGGGCCTCGGCCTCGGCGGGCCGTGGGTAGCGGCGTCGGAAACCACGGGGGATTAAGTAGAGAGGGGGTTGGGCTGTAGCGGTGCAGGGCTGAGCCGGGACGGAGAGCCGAGAGATGGGGCCGGCAGGGCTCTGCTTTTCCGGCACGGGAACGAGGTTGAGGAGAAGGGTGACCCGCAGCGCTGCTGAGGGCGTCGGGCTGTTCGTGCGGCCCAGCGGGACGCCTTGGAGGAGGTGGGAAATCTCTTCCTGCTGGAGAAGCGAAGCAGAAGCTGCGAGGGGATGCGCGGTGCCTGCTGGTGTGTCAGCAGGTGAGCGGCTGGGAGGGGAAAAGCAGCCCAGAAAACCCCAACCAAACACAACCACTGAAAACCAACAGGTCAACCCAACTTCTGCTGTTAGCAGAAGCTACAAGGACAGAATGGCCAGTGATAGGTGTAAGATGGAAGTCCCAGATGCCTTCTGTTCCTGCCGTGGCTCTCCAAAACAGGAATGAATGGCAGTGATGCCTGCTTGCTGCTGGCCTTGCACTCAGCTGGCATCCTGCTTGAATCCATATTCCTGAAGATTTCCTGCCCTATGGCAAAACAGTCCCGGCCTTCAGCACTGTCAGCTGCCCCTGCAGTTTTCACCACCCACCTGCAGGCCGTTCTGTGGTTGGTTTATTTTATTTTTCTCACTGGAACGCGTTTTTGAGAGCACACAGGTGTGTGATAATGTGGAAGAGATCCTGTTGTAATGTCGTGCGGTACCTACAAAGACAATTTCTGCACCTTCTACAGCATAATGCTCCCTGATCTGTAGGAATTGAAGCATTTATGCTGGCAGCCCTTCTGGGAAATGGAGGAGTAATATCCACACTGTTCTGTTCTTCTTTTCTCCCAAAATTGCAGTTGTCAGAGAGCTGTGATGATATTATCATTTCAGTTCAGTGCTTTAACCAAAGCACTGTTTTTAACCCTAAACACGTCAGGGGAGCAGCAGGCAGACGGAACACCCCAAAGAAGGAGTGCACTTGGGAGAGAGGATGGGGACAGACTTTGGATTCTCAGTGAATTGCTGCCATTTGTCTGTTTTTCACTTCTGGAAGTAACTTCTCCCATCTCAGCTGCACTGCTGGTAAAACTGTGCTGTGTGACCATCAGGGCAGATTTGGTTCCAGCAGAGCTGCAGTGTCAGGTGTTGCAAAGTACCATGATGTCTGTACTCGGAGCAGGGTGCTGATTTAACTGAGCGCAGCATTTCAGTCACCTCAGTACTGGCTCTGTCATAGAACCCTACAGAAATACAGTCCTGCATGCCTGAGATATTTAAGGCCTGGAAGCAAATGTGTTTGGTAGTCATACCCGAGCATGAAATGCCATGGGAGGTGTGAGGAGGTGCAGCAGGGAGGTGGGTGCCCAGCTGGCACTCTGCGGGCTGCCTGCTTGCCTTCATGCTGTGAACCTCCTCCTGAATTCATTCCTGTTTTGTACAGCGTGCTGAAACCATCAGATTCTTGGTGAGAACTTCCTGCCTGGAGATTTACAGTGAGGACATAAGAGACCTTCTAGGAGCCGATATCAAGCACATGTTGGAGCTGAAGCCAGGAAGGCCAGAGGAAAAAATGCACTGAAATCCCAACCAAGTGGCAGAAATGACCCTACAAAATGCCCCTCTTAGAGTCTTCGCAGATCTTTTTGCATGTATTCCTGGGGGCACCTGCAAATCTTCTGCCCCAGTTTGCTCCCCTGCAGGCCCACCTGCGAGGGAAAGCCGCAGCGGCAGCACATGTGGGGCATGGAAGCGCTGCACTGGAAGGGACCAGCAGTGCCTGCAGCCTGGAGGCGGTGCTACATGGGCTCCTGCCTTCATGAAGCCAAATCCTCTTGCAGGCAGCGCCCTGCTTTGCTTTCCGAGCGTGCTTACATTGGGAGAGAGAAGGCAGAAAAGGGGCTCAGTGCTGATTTAGACCACGCTTGCTGCAAATCCCCATTCTTTGTTCCCCATTAGCAGTGACACAGGTTTCCATGACGACTGCAGTTGGCACCAGGAGGGCAGGACTCGGGCACAGCGGTTTCCAGGGAAACACCAGCGCTATGGGGACAGCCACCAGCCTCACTGCTTCCTCTAGCAAGGAGTCCAGCCGTGTCCTGTGGAGGCAGAAGGCCTGGGCTGACCCACAGCTTTCTTCTGAGCCCCAGAGCCTGCTAATCTCCTCTGAAATCCTGTGTCTTTGTTCCCTTGCCTTTTAACATCAGTGATTTTGTACAGTCTGAAGCCCCGAGACTCAGCTGCCAGCTGTGGAACGAAGTCCTTTGACAGAAGAGCAGGTAGTAGGAGCTCTGGTAGGAGCACAGCGTGGCCAGGCTGTAGACAGCCCTGGAAAGGCCTCTGTGGCACCCTGGAGTGCAGCTGTGCCAGTTCTCCTGTAGTGCAGTCAGAAGTCATGGTGTGCAACCAACCTGGCTGTGGTTCTGAACTGGGTTAATTCAGGGCAGGCACAGCTTTGCAGTGACATAAACAAGGATAACATCCTGCTGAGTTCAGTTTTCAGAAGGATTTGCTCCATTTTGCCTCGATTTTTTTTTTACATCCCTTCCTGTAGCGTCACCAAAACATCTCGAGGTGTTCGGAGCTCACACACCCAAAGGCAGTATCTGTGCTCTGAGCACCCAAAGGAGCTGTGGGTGTCCCTGATTGCTGCTGGGGAGTTGGGCCAGGTGGCCTTTACAGGTCCCTTCCAACTCAAACCATGCTATGATCTATCGCATCCCTGATGATCCCTGCTGGCACCATCAGGTTTTGGTTATGAGCTCAGCGGATGTGGGGTGTAACACAGCTGGTGCAAATGAATTCCTCTCATTTAAAATTCCCAGCGTGGATGGATTTTCAGAAGGAGCTCATGTGGGAGTGCACTGTTCTCAGTTATTTTGTGTTTTTGGTTTTTTTTAAATGTAGGTTTGATGGACTGTTCGATACTTTGAACACCTCAATCATTTCTCAGTGTGCTGCGTGTTTTCTTCTGCACGATTTAGTGATTCCTTTGATGGTTTTGAAAAGATGCCATTAGTCATTTAACACTGCCCAGGTGCCTGGATGTGATTTTAGAGCATCGGATAAATGAACTCATCTGGAGGAAAAAAAATACATAGTCTGCCTGTGTGCGATGGTGTGATTTGGGGAACTGCGTTGGTGCGAATCAGGCGCCCTCTCAGAACGGAGGGGTTCAGTACAGCACCAGTAACAATATCTGATTACTGAATCGGTGCTTTGGTTTTAAAAAGCTCCCTATGACTGATGATATATATTAGAGACTTTGCCATAATAGGTGAAAAACATTTCTGTTCATCTTAAAATATGCTGCTTAATAATAGAGGAGGTAGAAGGCAGCTCAGTGCAGAGAAGTTGGGTTGCTTGTGTCCTGGGAGATGGCTGAATCCATCAGCAAGTTCATAACCTTCACTCTTTTTGGCTGTAAAGGTGGTTCCCTCTTTTTGTGTGGTCTGAAAGCTGGTGGGCAGCCCTCTGCACACCCTTCTGCAGCCTTGCTCCCCCTCCTGTCCTGTGTTGTGCTGTCCCTGCTTGCAGCTGAAGGCACACCTGGAAAGGTGCTGTGCGTGGAGGGGCTTTCCCTGCAGCCTGCGCACAGCGTGGTGCAGAGTGAGCAGATTGTGGAGGCAGACCAGAGGAACGCTGTGATGAACAAGGGCTCTTCCTGCTCCATCTTTACCATCCATATAGAAGTCTGCACCATAGGTAGGAGCTGGATGTGCTGCATCCACGCAACCAGAGGGATCCAACCATTCAGCCCCCAGGCAGAAGTTGGAGCATACGTGACTTTGGTCCATAGAAATCAGCATGGTGCCCTGACACTGGGATGCTTTGTAGAGTGAGATGGCTGAATATTCAAAATCTTTCCTCCTCAGTTCCCCTTCGGGCTGAAATGTCTTGCACTCAATCTGGAAACATGTTTTGTTCTCCTTCTTTTATCTTCTAAAGCCTTTATTTCTAGCAAAGGCCACTAGGACTCACAGCCAATACACTGCCTTGGAGCTCAGACATTGCAAAGCCTTGAGAAACTTGTATCCTTCTCTCCCTCGTCTGACCTCTCTTACAAGGATTCCTTCATTTAGCTGAATTATGGGGCACGTCTTTTAAGCAAACAACTAATCTGGGTTTAAAGATAGAATAAAAGAGTCCCTTAATGATGTTTTAGTGACTAATTTTCCTTTCCCAAGTATCTCATTTCAGCTGTCATTTCTTTAGCTGACAAAGCTGCCTACTGCATCTGGACAAGGACCTTGAAAGGTTTCCTCAGGGACTAAGAAAGAAATTAATCTCCTGTATTCTGTCTCATCCTTGACCCCAGCTGGGCCCTGAACAGCTTGGTTGTGTTCTCTTCCACAGGTGTTTCAGCCATCAGGAAAGTTGCATAATGTCTTTCTAAATGGTAGTTCCAGCTGTTAATGAGAGTATCTCATTTACATCTGCCCAAAGTGATGTGTGTTGGGTTCATGGAATGTCTCAATTAGCACAGCTGGTGGATGCTGATCCCTGCATTATGTGGTTATGTCAAGCCCCAACTTTAAGCCTGACAAGGAAAATGAAGCGTTTACACTCCTGTTTTGTGTTGGGTGCAGGGCTCCTAAATGAACAGGTATTTATGTTACCATCTTTAGGCTTCTCAAAGAAGTGTGTGAGTAAGTTGCAACTTATTTTCCAGTTGCACATGTAGGATGTTATAATTTGCAGGTGCTTAATGTTTTAAAGAAGCTCCTCACAACTATGTGAGCTTTATTTCCAAACAAAAGTTCAGAAACAGGATGTTGGTGAGCACGGGGCTCTGACTGCAGATGTGCAAAACACGCAAGGCACCACCTGATGTTGAGGGCGTTTGGAGTAGCAGCTATTTTACCCCTTTATGTTGTGTTTAGGGATTGATTTGCTCAGCAGGAAGATGTTTTAGATCGAGCTGGTGCTTCTGCCACCAGGAGCAGCTGATGGGCTGCGTGTGGACGAGACAGGCAACACCTGCAGGAATTTCAGTGAGTCTGGGGACCTTGTTACAAGGTGGAAACCAAACCACAAAGCTCTGCAATGGAAGCAAACAGCCTCCTTGGGTAAAAGGACTCTGACAATGACCACAGTGACTTATTTGTTGTCTACATAAGCTGGGACAGGGAAGGAAAGAGTTCAAAAACCTATGTTTTGTAACAGTCCCTTAACCCCAGCAATCAGAAAGAATGGTGAGAGGGTGCTCTGTTTAAGCTCTATTGTTGTTTGTTTGTTTTTTCTTCTTTCTTTTTTCCCCTATTCTTCCATGTCCAGACATGTCAGAGCGTGTGCTGTGAGGCAGTGCTCTGCTGCAAATGGTAAGCTCTGCAGTTAATAACCCACTGCTGTAAGTGAAATACCCCAGGGCAGTGGGTTTCCTTTGTTTCTCATGCCTTTATTTCTCATTACAAACCTTTCCCCCGTGCATCAGATTATTCATTGTTTAGGTATCCTCCACATCCACATCCATAAGGTTTAATTCCTGATTAAATTCAAGGTGAGGTTTTGTAGAAGTTTGCCTAGAAGTGAGCAGACATGGGTCAAACTGTTCCCTGGTGCAAATTGGAGCTCGGAGCGCCGAAGGAGCAATTCCCTTGAACTCGGGATGCAATCATGAGGGATGATAGGGGCACAGGGATCTGAGTGCTGTGGACAATATGCCTGATTTGACGAAAGATGGGTATGAAGCTGAGTGTGGTAAGGAGCTGGTGAAATTGCAGGGTTCCTAAAGTGTCTGCCTTACTAACAGGAGACTTGTGGCATCACGTTAGTTCAAGGAACTAATTTGGATTTTGTGTTGAGGTGTAGTGAGAACTACTGGTGATGGGTGGATGGTTGGACTGGATGATCCTGTAGGTCTTTTCCAACCTTGGTGTTTCTGTGATTCTGTGATTAAGTGCCTGTTCTGGTTCCTGACCATTGAGATGCTGCTTCCTGAGTAGCGCCTAACTTGGAATGATTTTCTTGCAGATGAGAGAGGGCAGGCCCACCTTAGGGCCGCAAATCTTAATGTAGTGAACCAGGCAGGAAGCAGGAGACAGTCAGAAACTGGAACTACAGGAGAGCAGAGCAAAGAGGCCACTAAAATCAGCCCTTCCCTCCCTCTGTGCTCTCAGTCCTCATTGATGGCAGGTGCAGACACATCCCCACCACAACTCAAAGCTGACCAGGCTGCTGCATGGCTCCCTGGGAGGGAATATGAGGCCCTGATGGTAGCATGCTTATCTCCAGCTGACAACAGCTATGATGAACGCCTCAGTCCTGTGCTATGCAAATCGAGTGAAAAACATCAAGAACAAGTCCTGTATCACGGATGCTCTGCTGAGGGATATCAGGAGGAGATTAAGAAGCTGAAGGCCATTCTAGCTGAAGAAATGAATGTGAATAATTTGTCAGGTAAGAAAACCTCAGCCTTAGAGCTGTTTTATCTTTGACCAAAAAAAGTGGTTTTGCAAGTAAAATGCTCACCAGATCTCACCTCATCCATTGCAGGAAGAGGTGTCCATTCTGGTAATGTGCTCTTCTTTTAGTATTGTCAAAATGACCTTATTCCAGCAGTAAAGAACATCTTAATTCTCTAATAGTTTCTCTAGTTTTCAATAATGACTAATTTTGTTAGAAAATGCTGATAGGATTCAAATCCTTGATTCTTTTTGGTTAGTGTGGGTAGAATTTGGTCGACAGAAAAGGGATTTCAGCTGGCAGAGCAAAGATGGTGGAGAAATAACAATGTAAAATTAAATACAATTAAATACAATTATACTTTTTTTTTTTTTTTTAATTAGCATTCTGTTTAATTAGTATTAATTAGCATTAGCTCCTGTTATCCTGAACTGTGAACTTTTGGCACTACAGGAAGTTTTTGCCTCGCTAACAGCATTCCTTACAGAATGCTCTGTCCTCTCGTCAAGGATTCACCCTCAGCAGACCCACTGTGCTGGGCAGCAGGAATAGGAAACCTGGGAGCAATCTTTTGGGACCTGATCATCTCTTGAGAGTTGTGACAAAGGTCAACTGTTATGAGAGGCTGAAGGATTTTTCTCTTTTCCCCTTTCTGCTGCCTTTCAAAAACAGCTGAGAAGACAGGAGGAATTTCCCTGCACTTTTTAATCTCCTTCCCAGTATATTTTATCTTCCAAATCTGTTAACATGGTTTGGGAAACAGATCTCCTGTTATTCTGACAGAGATCAGACATATTTGCTTTCATATACCTGAAGCTCCTGCTCTGCTCGGCGCTGATTCCTCTCCCCACACCTCTGGAGCTGGTGGCCAGTGGGCATTTTAGCAGCACAGATTCTGGCACATGAGTGCAGTGCAAAGGAGCACATGGATGGCGATATTCTTTGCTGGCAACGAGCTCCTTTGTTCTGTTTCCAGGCACTCCACAGGCAGTCCCACCCAGTAACTGTGCATGATTTTATTGCTGCTTTGCTTTGCAGGGCTTCCACCTGCCGAGGCTGCTCACTTGGAAGGGAAGCCAGCTCTCCTCCTGATGTTGAAGCAGAGAAGCAGCTGATCAGAGAAGTAAGGCAGCAGGGATTCAATCGTATGATATGTCCTACTGTCTTTGACTGAAGTTTGTGGATTTTTATAGTCCTTACTGCAAATAGGACGTAAGCTTTTCCAGTATATTTGTCATCACATTTTTTTTTTTTGTCCTTGGCTTGTTTCTTATGGCCTTATTTACAATATCATTTCCTCTCATTATTGTTCACTCCACTTCATCTCCAGACGAGTGGGGCTTTCCAGGATTTCCTTGAAGCACATGTAACAAGAGTGAATTACATGTGATGTTTAAATTTGTTCCATCAATGGAGGGGGGAAAGACATTAGGAACAGAAGGATGAGGAGGAGAGATGGAGCCAAGTGGAAGAATGAGGAGTTGGTAGAGAAGATAGAAGTAGAGGGACCAGAAGGAAGTGAACTTTGTCCTCACTTGTTACAAAGCCCTTTCCAGGGCACCACATCTGCCCAAAAAGCAGTTTGTAGGGCTAGCCTGTCACCTTTCATCAATGCTGCATCCATTTCAGCCACAGGAAAATGTCAATGAGTACAGTTTTACTGGGGTGGATGTAAGCTGTGACCTTGTGTACAGGCAGGAGCAGTGCTGCTGCACCAGGCTCTGCTGTGCCCAGGAGAAGGAAGAGATGCTGGCCCAGCTAAAGGCCAGCATGAAGTGAAGCAGAAGTCCCGTGCCTGCCTTGAATAAGGCATCATAACCTAAGGATCTGCTGTGGTCTCAAGCTGTCTGCCCTCGAGGAGAACCTCAGGAAGGAAGCAGGTGTGGATTAGGCAGGGTGCAGAGCGCAGAGTGATGGTGCTGTTCAGACACACAGGGTGCACAGCACAGAGCCATGGTGCCCTGGTGCTGTTCAGACACTGCGGGGTTGCCTTTGGGAATGAGCTGAAACAGAAGGTTTCTTGCACACTCTGATTTGTGGCAGCCACTGCAGCCTCTGAAGAGGCACTGACAACTGCTGCAGCAAGCGTCGCAGCCCCTGCTCTACCTCTCTCGTATTGACAGCAGGAGTGTGACTGCCTTCTGAGCCATTTGCGAGACTCTGTCCCAGCTTCCCTATTTCCCTGAGCTCTTTTCCATGTCAAGACCAGCCTGGCCCTGCCCTGCAAGCCCTAAGGCAACAAAATGGAATTTTGCCCATGCAGCTGTGAGTTCTCTCTGCCTTAGATCAGCATTCCTCTTGAACAGAGGTTTATGCTGCAGAGCTGTCTCAGCAGGCAGCAGCCTTGATCTGATTGGCTTCCCACAACCCACATGCCCCAGACAAGCAGGCTGCAGCAGTATCTTCCGTCGCATACAAATCTGATGCAGCTCTTGGTTTCCTGGTGGATTATCAACACCATCGCTTTGCTGCAGGGCAGGTATTCCTGTCATGCACCTATAAAGAGTTGCCAGCTATCCAATTCATTATCATTTTTCATTTATACTCCCGCGGTGCCTCAGAGCATGTTTTGTAATGTGCTTACACAGCACGTTTTGTCCAATATTAATCCTTGCAACCATATTCTAAATTCTTGATGCTACCACTTTCTAAGGTGAAAGGTTTATTGTTTTCCCTCTGACTACAAGCATGTACCCCCTGCACTTCTGAAATAGGTTTCTATGTGAATGTGAGGTTCAGGGTTTTCCCAGCCCTGTAAGATCTGTATTCCTTGCCTGACTTGCCCTCTAGGTTTCTGATGGTTTTTACTTACCAACCTAAGAAGGTAAATAACAAACAGACTTCTCCCAGCCAAACAAACAGCTTTCAGCTTTTGCGGAAGGTTTGGTGATGTTTTCACAGATTTATATTCTATGCAGAGCTCACTATTTACATTGCAGGTATTTGCTCTTTTATTCTTCAGCTGCTGTGAATTCTGAGACTAATCCTACTGAGACACCTTTGCCTGAAGACTCCTGCTGCAGCAGATGAAGAACTGACATCAGTCAAGGTTCCCTGCAGTCCACTTCTCCCTCCCAGGCTGAAGAGACCCAGGTGGGCAGTGTCACTCTTCGACTCTTCCAGGATTCACCCTGCATCTTTTCAGAGATGCAGCCTTTTGTTTCTTCTTGTCCTCAGGACTCAGCAGTGCCTCAAGCTGTGCGAGGTGCTGGCGATGGGAACGCCGGAGTGGAGGAGCTGTCATACCAGAAGGGACTTCAGCCCCTGTGGAGCAGCAGCAGGTGCTTGCCAGCTCAGTGGCTGCTTCTGATAACTGCCTCCTGTTGCACACAGGCAACAAGCAATCACAGAATCACAGAATTGTAGGGGTTGGAAGAGTCCTCCAGAGATCATCGAGTCCAACCCCCCTGCCAAAGCAGGTTCCCTACTTTTGTCTTTCCATCTTGCTGGACCCTGCCAGCAGTCACTGCTGGCTGTCCTGAATCCTGCTTGCACAGCAGCATGACTGCTCAACTTCAGCTATGTGTTCTGTGCAGTGCAAAATCAAGCAGATGCACATTCTTTATCCCCAAATTAACTGTGTCCATTTGGAGCAGACAAATAGCTGCTAGGTGCAGTACTCTGATGCCTAATGCCATAATGATGAACTCTCATTGAGAGTTCTCCTGAGAGACTCTCCATTGTCACTGAGATCACTATCACTTCTGCCTTTAATTCATGCATCTGAGAGTACCTGCAAGACTTCAGCCAGAGCTGGCATTAAAATTGCCTGGGAACAAAATGTTATTGGCAGCATTAGACCCGGGGCCTGAATCTCATGGCTGGGGTGTGAGGGGTGCAGGGTCACATCTCCATGTCGCTGATCTCTGTCAGCTCCCATGAGACACGCTCACTGTGATGGGCCTCTCCCACTGCAAAAGGAGCTATTAACAAATCTAGGATAGCACTGTCTGCAATTTGTGAGGAGTTGTGTCTGTTGATGGAGATGGCTCCAAAGAAACCATTTGTTTTGACGGTATATCAAATTTTAATAGTCTTAGTGCCTGAAGTTTTTCTTCCTGTGATAAGGGAGGAAAAATGCCAACTGCATTGTTAAAATCAGAGTTGGCTGCAGATTAGGCAGGAGGGTTTGATTCCACAGGTGTGGAATTTTCAATGTCACCTTTTAAATGCTTTATACCACAGGGTGGCTGAGAGTCAGCAGAGCAGGATTCAGTCCTGCATTAAGCAAACAAAACTGAAAGCTTTGGCAACTGCAGGGAAGTAGAATAGCAGGTCATCTCTGGTGGAGAATGAGTTCTTTCTGATGGGTTTGAAGATCATTAAGAGGCTATTATCAGTACAGGCTTTATCAGCAGTAGGATTTTCTCCAATCTGAGTCGGTGCTGGTGAGCCTGACCTGTTTGCCTTGATACAGATGTCAGTGCAGACAAAGAGAGCAGCTAGCAGCTCAGGAGTTCAGTGTGCCTTGTCTGAAGAGGCATCAGCTGCACCAGGAAGGGGTGCCTGGAGTTGTTTGCCACACCAGTGCAGTGGCACAAGGGGCGAGCAGCCTGGGATCTGAATTCACACCAGAGATTAGCAGAACGCCTGCACTCAGCACTCTGTTGAATATTTATCTCCCTTCCAGGAGTTTTACTGCTGGTGTAAGATTGCCAGGACTAAATCACTTTTGCCCTTAAGAAGTCAGGCTGGTGCACACCCAGACTGGCATAAAGGGAACACTGCTATGTTTGTCGAAGAGTCTGCAGTGTTCCATTGTGCCTCAGGCTACCTACAAACCCCTTGCCTGCTTGGATAGTCACAGTGCTGTGAGAACAGCAGTCCTGACTCCTGCAGGGCTTGCTTCACACCCATGTCAGTGTGTGGGGCTGTGCAGTGTGAGTGTGAGATAAGCTTGGTTTAAAACATGGGCCTGTGCCTGCACACAGGTGGCTATGCTGAGGTAGCCCACATCATTTAATCCATCTGATAGTACTGCTCCAAAGAAGAAACTATATTATCGCTTACAGCCTTACCACTGCAACATCTGCCATTTGAAATATATTTGCATCATTTCAGCACCTCCTGTGCTTGCTCTGAGAGCCTTTCCAAACGAGAAATAATAATTGAAATATAAATTCCACATTGGAATTTATATATTGGAGTTTATTAAAAACATTGGGTTTTTTTTTAAATAAAAAAGCAATTCTGTGCATGTAGACACACTCTCAGTTGCACTTGTTATTCTGATCACCTTTGTCGTCATGTTTCTGACATGTATACTCACACGGAGTTCATATATAGCAAACTGTTATGACACGTGGAATTTGCCAGGATTACTCGGGACAGCAAATCTCCCAAGGAGTCGCTATTTCTGTATGGTGTTGTCTCAAGCATCGTTCAGGTACAGAAGTTCATCCTTCACAGCTACACAAATGCTTCCTTGTAATGCTCAGCAAACAGAAGCACCAGAACAAGTGGTAAGGGGGGAAGAGGCTGAAAACAAGGACCTCAAGGAGAAGCGTAACATTGGAAAAAGTTTGCAGATGAGCAGAGGATGCGGCTATGCTGCAGAAATTTGATGATGACAGCAGTGATTTGGTTCTTCTTAATGTCCAGGAGGAGGTTTGAGCCTAGAGCAAACTTCTGCAGAAGATGCAGAAGAAGGTGAGCCTGCAAAAACAGTTCCCTGTTTCCAATTCGGGGAGCATTCACTGGGATTATTCTCAGGATGGCTTTTTCACTCCTTAGTTCCACACTTCCTCAACCATTTTCCCTTCTCTGCTTATCCGTTTTTTAATGTTAATGAGATACCTTAGGGTAGTATATTTACAGAATGATGGCACCTGTGTCTAACATGCCATGTGTGCATGCGTTAGTACCTACGATGTTGATTAGACCCAGAGAATTTCTGGAGTGGGAAGGGACCCACAGGGATCACCGAGTCCAGCTCCACTGCACGCATTTTTAGGAACTGCTGGAACAAACTTGCTCCACGACTCCAGCGTTCTCAAACTCCCCCCCGTCCCCAAGGGTTTTAAAAGCTGGCTGCCTTGTTGTGTAGCAGGACACCGAGAGGAGCTTGTCTGTTATGGGAGAGGATGCGACTCCCTCCACTGACTGACACTGCTCACTGCATCCTCGGCAGCACCCGTTCTGATCACCCAAGAAAATGAGCTGTGCAAATATATTAAAAAATATAAAAATCTATATATAAACGCATATTGTTTTTATATACATAAGCAGCACCCTTACATCTTAGGCATGCTTGAAAATCAGTTTTGCTCTGATTACATGAGGCAGAATCAGAGGAGTTTTGAAAACGTGCCTATGCCTCAGAAATCTGCACGTTAAGAACTTGCTTAATTTAGGTTACCAAAGAAGTATGGCACCTTTTTCATCTAAAATAGGAATCCCGTGACTTTGTTAGCTTGGGACAGGGAACACATGGTGAAAATTTAAGCGCATTTGAAGCCTCAGTAATTCATGGGATGATGTGTCAAGTCTTCCATTTAAACAAATGTGGAATTCTCTTTCCAGATAAAATCTCATCCCAATTATTAATTATAAGTTAGAAAGCACTGAAGCTTTTGTTTTTAAGAGTGGGCGCTAACAGTAGGTGCTTATTAACTTCTTCATGTTTGAATTTTGCTAAATTGTTGGCTTCGATTGAGTGTAAATCCAGATCACGGAACCCCTTTGGTGTTCTTGGTTTGCCACCATTGCTCTTCTATAAGCACCTTCTCACTCTCGCGCAGCGGACAATGAAAGTGTAAGCTGCTGATTTACTTTGGCCAAGCTTTGGTTTTATCACATACCTCTGAATAAACCCTCTGACTAATTCCTGTTTCCGCGTCTAACCAATGTCTGTGCTTGTAGTAACCTCCACTTCTCTCTCTGCCATAATCCCAGCTAGTCATTTTGTTGTTTTTATGACGCAGCTGCGAGCTGGTGGGACAGAAATCAAAGATCTGCAGTCAGTTTGAGCTGGAGAAGATCAGTTATCTCAGCAGCAACCACAGTCTGGAGCAAGACATGAGGCTCTCCCAGCAGCTGCTGGATCAGGTGCAGTCCCTCATCCAGCGAGACTGCAACTGCAGCAATGTGGGGGAAGATCAAGTGCAAGTCTGTCTGGGATGAGGAGTCTGGCTGCTGGAAAATTCTGTCAGAGCCTGACATTGCAAAAAAAACGCCTGCCTGCAGGTAAGAGGAGTGTCGGGGCCACAGTGCCATCCCATGGCTTCTCCTGGGCTCATCAGCAGGTCATTAAATGGCAATTGGACCGCACTCACTTGTGTCATCTGTGTACAGTGGAGGCTTCTGCCTTTCCACCAAGTCTAAATAACAACTTAATGAGGACAAAACTCGCTGGATCTACACAAAAATTTGGGCGAGTAGGTGATACAAACTGGGGAGCTGGCACAGGATTCCCTGCTAAGCTGTCAGTTTTCTGTGTGCCTTCACTAGAGAGTGAATTTGCTGTTAGTGTTTAAATAAATCAGATGCCCTTTCTAAAGCTGTTTCTCCTAGGATCTCAGATCACTTTGATGTTAATGAAAAAGCCCTACAAAGGAGATATTACAGGGCTTGTTTAAAAGCTTGAGAAATTAAGGCAAGGCAGCATCTAGACTTGGGTGGGCTTTCCTGAGGCCTCACACCAAGCTTTGATTGGATTTTGGGTCCCTGTGTGATTCTCATCATCTGGAGCTGCCTCTGCCCGAGAGACACATTGCCTTCCTGTAAGACAAGACTCTCAAGGGCTCTTGTGACCGCTGTCTGATCCACATCCTCAGCTGCTGGAGGCAAATCACTGCACAGCTCCCCAAGGCTCCTGTCAGCCCAATCATTAGTGACTTGTTGGGATTGGGGAACACGTTACTACTGCAAAGAGGACAGCCCTTTAATGCTGTTTCTTCTCTTGGCAGTTCCAGCCCTGCCACAGCGCAACCCTGCCAGAAAGCTCTTTTGGCTGAGTGCGAAGAAGCAGCCCTGAGCTGTGCCCGTCCTGCCAGGGCTCTGAGCACTGGGACGTGGCAGGGTCAGGGCTGGGCGCTGTGTGCAGGCTGCTCGGGTGTGTGCTCCGCTGGTGCCAGCCGGCAGCTTTAGCAGAGGAGCCCCGAAGACCTACGTCGAGCAGGAGCTGCCGCCTTTTAGACTTCCTAAAATCGCTCATTTTAGGCTATTCGGTTCCTTCCAGGTAGCAGAATGATTTTTATTGCTGTAAGTTTACATTATTCCCAGATGCTGAGGAGGGCTTTACCCGAGCGGGGCTGAGCTACATCCCTGCCACGCGGACGCTGCTATCGCGCTGTGCCCAGGACACGGTACTTTTCATCGCACGCTCGGGGGCCTGCGAGCTGCGGGGCGCCCGCCTCCATTTCCCGCAGCACCCCAACACTGTGCGGGCTGCATCACGTGACAACTTCGTTCCTTCCCGTTTCCAGCGGGGAGCTGGCCGTCGCTGATTGGATGGCCGGGGCGCTGCACTTGCAGCCCATTGGCTGATTCCTTGCCCCCGCCTGTTTCCCAGGATGCCCCACGCCGGCGAGAAAATGGCGGCGGCCGCGGTGCGGCTGTGGTGGCTGCTGGCGGCGGTGACGGCGGCCGGGGCTGGGCCGCGCACCCTGGTGCTGCTGGAGAACGGCAACTTGCGGGACACGCACTCGCTCTTTTTCCGTAGCCTGGCGGGTAGGGTGGGGTGTCCCAAATGCTGTGTGCGGGGTTGGGGCCTTCGCTGCGAGAGGCACGGGAGCGGGTCTGGAGAGGGGAACGGAGCTGTGAGGGCTCTGGAGCGCAGCGCTGTGGGGAGCGGCTGAGGGATTTGGGATGGGTCAGTCTGGATAAGAGGAGGCTCAGGGGAGATCTCATTGCTTTCTGTAACCCCAGAAAGGAGGCTGTGTGAGGTGGGGATGGCCTCTATGCCCACTAACAGGAATAGGTCTGGAGGTGATGGCCTCAGGTTGTTCCAGGGAGGTTCTGGTTTGATAAAAGAAAACTTTTTTTTTTTTAGAAAGAGTGGTGATGCTTTGGTACAGGCTGCCCGGGGAAGTGGTGGAGTCCTTGAAGCTGTTCAGAAGCTGTGAAGATGTGGCACTGGGGGACATAGTGGGTGTTGTGGGGGGTGGGTTGGCTGTAGGACTGGATGATCTCGGTAGTGTTTTCCAAACTTATGATTCTGTATGTCATGGCTGCAGATAGGGGCTTTGAGCTCACCTTCCGGACCGCAGATGATGCTGGCCTCTCCTTGATCAAGTATGGGGAGTTCCTGTATGACAACCTGGTCATCTTCTCACCATCCATTGAGGGTATGAGCTGGGGAAGTGCTTCAGCAGTGATTCAGGGGGGGGCTTGGGGCCGTTTGGGGGTGGTTGTGAAAGACAAGGCTCTGGTATGGGACAGTCATGAGCTGTTGATGTGCACTTGCAGATTTTGGAGGAAACATCAATGTGGAGACCATTACTGCTTTCATTGACGGTGGTGGCAGTGTCCTGGTGGCTGCCAGCTCAGACATTGGTGAGTGTGGTGCCTGTTGGGCTGTGGAGAACGTCGCTACTCCTGTCAGCCCTGTCACACATACTTGCAGCAAACAGATCCTCTTCCTTGGAGCTCCTGAAAAATAAATGCAGTGGGAAAAACACAATACCTAATTAGCTCGTAGGTCAGTGTCCTTCAGCTTTGCACTTCCTAGATGTGCTGGAGAAATGCTTGAGAAGAGGTCTTTTCTGGTTATTTGTGGATGAGAGCCTTAAGTAGATGCACTTTGTGTGCAGTTATGAACCTCAAGATTTGTGCTTTGAGAAGATGAATGCTTGGCCTGGGGTGAGAAATGAAACCAGCCTTTATTTCCATTTTTGAATGGGAATTTAGCAGAGGGAAGTTGCAATGCTCAGAGTTTGGCTGGTAGAGTGCTGAATGTGTCACTCTCAGCTAAACACATTTTGAGTGTTGAGACTGGGTTGCATTCTTCTGAGCCCTCTGCATTCTGGAATCTTGTTCTCCTTTCAGGTGACCCACTGCGGGAGTTGGGAAGTGAGTGTGGGATAGAGTTTGATGAAGAAAGGACAGCTGTCATTGACCATCACAGCTATGATATATCAGACCCAGGCCAGGTGAGCATCTTTATCTGCAGGTTTGGGGTTTTGTTAATGAGAACATGTGTGTAAAGGTTGAGAGAAGAATCTTCTGTCCTTATTTTCCTTCCTTACTTCCATCCCTTCTCTGCTGTTCGCAATGAAGTTGTACATACTGCTGTTCAACAGCATTCAGTGTTGCAGCAGGCAGAGTGCTGGCACAGCACTGCAGCTCTGTGTGGGGAGTCTCTGCCCTGAGTCCATCTTTCTGAATTTGTTGGATTTGATCTTACTCTGGGGAGTGTCAGTGTCACTGCGTCTGTTTCATCCTCTGAAGTGTTTGTCTGGTTAGTTTGTGGTAGGTTGAGAAGAAGAACTTTACAGGTGACACTTTGAGATGCAGGAAGGGTAACTTTTAGTGCCGGGTGCTATTGAGAGATCTTTGTGGAATTGCATATGTTTCCATGTTTTCTTTCCTCTTGTTAGTGAGTGCTTAAACATGAAAACCCTCTGTTAGGTCTGAACTTACTCTGATAGTTCTTATTTAAAAGAAACTGTTTAAGTTGTATGTGGATGCTGTCCTATCTTAAAGGTGAAAGCTACTCAGATAAGTCAACTACTGTAGTGTTACTGTTTTTATCAAAAGGGAGTTTTATATTTCCTGATGTATCTTCATATTTGATTTACTGTAGTTAAACAAAAGAGCTGCTTTTCTGATTTTCTTTTTAATGAAGTTGTAACATTTATACAATGGCTGTTCAGTTTTGATGGCCTGTAAAAACAAAGTTGACTTTCAGATAGAAAGAGAAGCTATTGCTTGCTGTTCTAAAACCTGACAATTACTGGAAGTGTATGTAAATACATTTGCCTGTGCAATACATTTACACAGATCTCTCTTGTTTCCTCCAAGCACACGCTCATAGTAGCAGATGCTGAAAATCTCCTGAAGGCCCCCACCATCGTGGGGAAAAAGGCACTGAACCCCATTCTCTTCCGAGGAGTTGGGTAAGACATGCCACAGCCAGGTGGCTGCTTTTGGGGAAGCAAAA